AGAAGAATTTATTGCAAGAATAATTTAGCCTTGACCGGTGGTCGTGAAAAAATTCCACAGGCATTATAAGTTGAAAATTTTTCTTAAAAACGCACACGGAAAAAAAAGAGGTAGGGGTTAAGTCCCAACTGTTGAATGATATGGACATTTCCGATTAATTGTGGTAATACTCCGATTAATTGTGGAAGTATCCCGAGAAATTAGGTTACTGACCCAAATGTTGCGGTACTACCCCAACTTGAGTTGCGATTCAACCAAAATTAATTAGAAATGTCCATATCATCCAACAAATTGGGGTAGTACCACAATTTTAGGGGATAACCCCTCACACTTTTTTCCCCGTACACTTATAAAGAAATAAGATGTCATCAATTGTCCATTTAAAAATTGTAAGTCAAGTATTGGAACGTTTCCAGTTGAAAATTGCTGTGGCAAAGAGCTAAAGCCATCACCCTGAACTTGCATTCAACACTAAAGTTTTAATTAAAGATTAAACATTTTGGACCCTCGGATCTCCACTAGATGTCTGCTTATAACGGTTACACTAATGTTTTTCCCTTTTTTCATTCCTTCTAGGTCATGCTGGGTGGTTTCCCACATTTTTGAAGGAGCACCCACATACAAAAGGATAACATTTTGTAAGCAAATAACCACGATATCTAGTCAAACGCCGAACTTCTCTGCTCAACTATGAGATGTACGTAGATTTCAAAGAACACGATATCGTCCATCGCGTTGATGTATATACCTTCCATTGGACCGCGTTTAGTAGAAAGGAACCAAGCGACATCGGCTTTTGCCAAATTTGACTTGGCAATTAAAAGTTTTACGAGAGAAAGTTTGTGCGGATTCCTTTGAAAATTGTAGGGAATTTGCTTCGCACTATGCAGAAAATTCACTGAAAGCACAAAAATCCGCACAACCGTTTTCATGCAAAAAATTAAATTGCCCGATTGAAACTGGCAATAGCAATGGTTCCTTTCTACTTAACGCTTTCCAATGGTTTCTTTCTCTCTCGCCGACGAAATAGTGGATTTTGGGGGAATGAACGACAACTTATGGATATTTTTCAATACTTCGTGAGGCAAATTAAGACGAAAAACGATTGCCGTTTCGAGAAAAAGTTTTTAAGTTTTTCCTGAGGTAGCTCTGGGATTTACTCTCTTTTTTCACGGGAGAGACGGTCGCGGCCGGTGAATGGATTAGTCTAAAGAGAGATCCGATCCCTCATCGCTGAATCCAGCCTCAGCAGGGCCGTAATATTACCGGTGATGGATTGCTTTTCCAGCCTTTTCTCAACCCCTACACACCTTTCCCATCCCGGACGGGAAACTGCGCAATGAGGTCTTCTCAAAGCCCTTGAACTTGCCAATTTCTGGGTCCAAACTGGACGGGGGAGGGCAATGGGGCATCTCTCGAAAATCGATACAGTTTGCGCGCGCGTGGCAAAGGAATCGTTTCAGCTGAATTATAGGGACAAGAGTGTGGCGCTTGTAGAAAAAAATTTTGAGCATGCAACTTTGACAATGCGCTCGGTTATGAGTAGCATTTTATGAACTTTGAGTCTTCTTTTTGAATACTACATTGGCGGGATCGCAGTTCGCAACAAGGAGCCGATTTTTTTAACCCATTTTAAAAACAGCATTTACACCATTCGGCTGCTGACAGAGATGGATGTTCTGAGCCAAAAAAAGAGTAGTTTCTTCTTGAAAAATGTAATCCAATTATGATGATGGCTATAAAATCCAGGAATTTGAACACCCGCGGGGCACCCGCATGATCAATCGATTGTCATCCGTGAGCAAGGTTAGAAGACTCATTATTGTGAACGCGGCAATTATTATGAGAGGATGATAACGCCACTTGTATGCGGACTTCCAGGTTTATGCTTCGCTCAATTGTTCTGTCTATCTTTCAAAAATTCGAACGCGTTTTAAACATGGCAAGCCTTGTCCACGATTTTATTGAGACGGGATGGTGGCTTACATTGGGAATATAATGGTTAAAAAACATTTTTTTTTTAAAAAAAAAAAACAACTTAAAAAAAATTCTCTTCGATTGAAAGAAACATTTTTAGAGGTAAAAAAATAATTTCTCTTACCTAAGTAAGTACGTATTAAAGTGTTCTTGGATGAAAGATCATTTTTTTAATTTTTTAAATTTAAAAAAAAACCAAACAAATTTGCTTCACATCAAAAACATTTTTTCTTGAAAACAAGGAGAAGTTTGCATTTAACTAATGTTTTGCAAGCTTTTTTTTTTTCAATGGACGTGGTTCCAGAGTCTTACCATGGTCTTCAATTTTTTAATACTCATCTTTCAAAAGTATAAGAGGAAAAAATCCGAGATACTTTTAAAAACAAATGTCAGTCCTACAAACCTCAAAAATGGCTGAATTGACAGCTTTAAATGGAATATATAGAAAATAAATATGATTTAATCAATTTTTCTGGGGCATGAGAAACACCGTACCGTGGATGTTATTACTGTCGTCCAATTTTTCCAAAATTTTCTTTTCCCTATTTGTTAGCTGCGTTCAGACAGAGCTAAAGTAAAACCTTTCGACATGAACATTCGGAACCATCGCCTGCCATTGAACTACCTATGAGAAGTGAAAATTTCTATATACATTTTTAAGGATTTCCTTACTGGAAAATCTCCTTTCTTTTTACGATTTTCCTGCCAAAGAGATGTTACGTGCGGTTTATCCTTATTTCAAAAATCCGTCGCTAATTTAAAGCTAAATAAATAGAGTGTACTTAAAGGACTTGAGACGGTTTGAAGGAAAGAATAACATACAGAAGAATATTTCAGAATTTAATGTCAAATCGTTTTTCAAAAGATTCCAAGAAGGTACGTGACTTGAACTCGGGAAAATCGACGAGATAGTGTAACAAGACCAAAATTATTTGATTTCCTTCGCGACCATTCTTGCCTCACAGTTATCTCAATTATGAGGGTCTTTTGGTAGTTAATTGATCATTACTTATTCCGTAAGACACACACGAAATGAGACTGTTCCAACTGTCTGCCGAATGACACGAGCACGAACATACGAACAATCTGACTGAAGTTAAATTCATTCGAAACATCTGTGTTAAGCTCTCCAAGTTTCTACCCTCCTCACCCTCACTACCTAACTGTTCATAAAAATCCGACCCTGTTTTTTACAAATACCTCAGTAAGGTGACGAAGTTAACAATATTAACCTGAATTTTGTATTTGATTTTTGTAAATGTAAAATGTATTTGTCCTGCCAAACAAGCTGTGCTCAATGGCACGACTAAATGTCACTCTATTGTCACTCTTTATATTTTTTAAACACATTTTCTTTAAAAATCAATCAATAAATAAATAAAGTGCAGACTTCAGGTACTTTAAGGTCAAGACTAAGGCAAGATAAAACGGGAGTCTCAAGGCCTCTTTTACCTAGGTACATGGAGAGATTTACCCTTGAGAAAACTGTTAAAAAAATTGCTTACAGGGATAGGAGGGGTACCTAGGAGAGATTTTACGAGCAGAAAGTGTAGGAAAAAAAAATTAAAATAAAATCTTTTGGTGACTCATAATTTTTTCAGTGTGCTTGCTAGGGAGTGCAATTTTGAACTCAGATTGGATGAAAACTAAGTAGGGCGGTTTAAAAATATTTGAGAATGAAATCATCGCTTTTGATTCTAACGTTGGATATCACTACCATGGCTCCACAGAAATTTAACATAGTATTATGCTAACAATAAGATAAATTTCATCCAATTATACGTAATAAATGACATTGATTTTCCCCTAAATATACCTGTTTTTAGGGGGAAGGGGTAGGTAGCGAAGGACAAGTTTTCAAACTCCATAATCTAAAGATTTTTGGAGAAAATTGTGTCAAATTCTTTTTTGTGAGAGAGAAATTGAAGAACTTAGATAAAAATTGGTGTGCTCAAAAGTGGCACGCCGACTAAAAACCTCCGCTGATCATAGTCAAGTGATTGATGCAGAACATATCTACACCATCTACTATTACAGATTTGACAATGAGTAAGTAAGAATACTTTTGAGCTTATGTTTCGGAGTAATAAGTAGAGTCTTATTGATATCATGCGCTAGAGATCCGACTCTCGGTGAGAATGTGAGGTGAAAAGAGAGATCTAACCTGTAAAAGACTCAAGCATCAACTTATCGACGGTGTAAGTTTACAATCATATAACTCTTTTGGGGCGTCTGAAAATCTGCACCTCTATGTTATTTTTTGGAAGGAGAACAAATTGACATCGTTCCTTGAAGTTTTTGCAGAATTTTCTTCGCACAGAGAAGAAAAATCAAGGCAGTTTTAAAGAATTGCCGTTGAGTGGTTTTCCGTTTAAAAAGTAAAGTATGACAGAAAGTCTGCAATGCCGCAGAACGAATTATGTGATTGCCGACTTACACCGTCGATATAGAGCACAAAGTTTTGCTATGCAGTAAAACCTAAGTATTGAGTTCGCAATTCTAAGTAAATGATAAAATTGCATTGGAGGCAAAGAGGATCAATAACAGTGGCAAATGCTTACTGTTATACATTCGACAGTTCTTCTATCAAGACTTCATGATGATTTAAGATGACAGAAAATGCCTTCAAAATTTCAGCTAGATACTTAAATGTAGTAAAAAATTTATTGCTAGCAGAATAGAGCTGGATATACCTCGCTCCTTGGAAATAGAACTCATACGCCAATTCCTATCATAGATAGAGTTCACAGATTTACTGATTTAAAATCTTGGTCCATGATATCAACAGGCTGTTCCGAGTCAATCATAATTTATAAAAATACTTTCTCTACCTGCGAGGGCAGCCGGAGAGTAAAAATGAATGGCAAATATATTCGTAATCTACAACTCGAGTTCGGTGCTCCTCAAATGATCGCAGGTCTTGGTCCCACCATGAGGGAGAACGCAATGATATATTTGCTTCGAAAATACACTATCAGCAGGAGGTAATAAAAGCCTGTAAAATACAAAGCAAATTTACTCACCGTCTTGTGAACTTTAAATCCTGAATCAGTCTACTGGGCCTTGTTCGCAGAGAAAGTTCCAATCACTATTTGATTACGAGGAGCCAAACTCCGATATCCGAGCACAATATTTGAAGAACAGTATGAACACAAAGCACGTGTACTTAAAATCACAGCGGGAGTAAAACGCGGCCACCACGCGACAATAAGCGAAGAGACTGGACAACCAAAACACTGATAAAACTCGAGACTGCTGTCGAGCAATGAGCTATCCCCACTTTATTGCACTTCCTCCTCAACTCTTATTCAGCTAATTGATCAAAATTGGCCTGCTTGAAGTCTCGCAATACACGTCGAAAGTTCTTCTCGGGCACCGACTGCGATGATTTTGTAGAAAATCCCTTGTGGGACCACCCGGATAGGACGAACTTTATCTTATCACTAAAAATATTATCCGAAAGAGCAGTTCACTTTGTTATGATGATGGTGTTGCGCTCTCGCGGGCATGCCTTGAACTACGTGTCAAAACAATGGACTGCAATGCGCCGGAGGGGTCTGCGGCTCTCCGCACACGGGTTGAGAATATCACGAATGAAGTCCACCCCATGCTCATTATGAACGAGGAAAATGAATCGGTCTTCCACGATGTTGTCATGGCTATTTCATTGCATCCTGTAATTATTGTAATGAATTTGTATATTTTACGCTTCCATGTGATTTCAAGGTTCGAACACAAGTTTTCCATCGTTTCTCATCAAAGAATTAGTGTTCCATTTGTCTAGGGCTTCTAAAGGCGACAAAAAGTACCTAAGAAAAATATGGAATGGCCAGCCTGAGGTGGTAGTCCTCTATAAGAAAAAAGTAAAAAGAGGAGAATATAAAACATTCATTTGAAGAGAAACGATTAAGTATATACTCTGTTCATTCCATTTTTGTTTATTCAGGTATTTTGTAAAAATATATTTTCACCCGCAGGTAACCCTGGTAAAAATTGGCAGTAGAATCTGTGTTCCAAAATACCATAGACCTACAGCCGACTGTAAGGTTTCCAATAGCTTCTATAGCCGGCAACACAATTTCTTATAGTCTTTTATAGCCGATGGCGATTAAGCAACAGCCTCACGATAAAGTGTATCAACGGCAAAACTACCAGACCACGTATCTCGGTTTGTGACGTTGCAGACTTCCTGTCATACTTTATTTTTCAAATGGAAAACCACTCAGAGTCAATCCTTGAAATTTTTGGCGATTTTCCTTCTCTGTGCGGTAAGAACTGAAAATTTCAAGAAATGATATTGATTAGTTCTTTTTCAAAAAAATAAAATGGGAGCTGAGATTTTTAGACATCGCAAACGAGATACGTGGTCTGGTAGTTTCACTGACGGTATGCTATCCGTTACTAATTACGGATGCTAGGACTTAGTGAGTTTTTGGACTACCGCTCTCTTTTTGGACCGTAGTATTCTTGATATATTTTGCGAGGGAAGCTCCGTATTTTTGAAGGATGCCTGCCATTCCTAATATATTGGAGCGCCTTCAATTTCGTACGATACTGTGCAATACCTCTGGTGTGAAATAGTTGCTTCAAGCGCCGTGGTACGCTGCGGCAGAGCGGCAGGCGGGCAGCCAGCGCGAAACGCGCATTGGCGCCTCCAAACCTAACAGGGATACTTCACGCATTGCGCAGTGCATGAAGTATCCCTGTTAGGTTTGTAGGCGCCAGTGCGCCGCCGCTCCGCTTTGTGTTAGGCTCTAATATTTAATCTCGTGGAGTCAGCGTTGTTCAACTCATGACTTAGAAATGTTTGCACACTCTGTATGGATTATTCTCATTTTAATTGATGAAAACAAATGTGTAGTAAAGGAAAATATAATGTGCGTTTTGTAAATATTATGGTGATTCCGTACAAACTTAAGGATTTACAAATCACACGAATATCTACACAATTTCTTGCAGCCTTTTATAGCCGATGGCGAAAAAGCAACAGCCAGGCGATAAAGTGTAAAGCCCGGCGACAGGAACTATAGCCCGGCTGTTTAATTTTTTATCGCTTCGTGTAGCCCGGCCGCATGATTTTTTCCACTTTCTACAGCCAGCTATACAATGATTTTCTATCGCCTTCTTCAGTCGGCTATGAGAACTCCTATGGTATTTTGAAACGCAGCTCCTATCGCCAATTTTTACCAGGGAACTCATTCTTCAATTTGATGTAGACACCCCCCCCCCCCCTCATTGCACTCAGTGTGGTATCGCGACTTTCGTATTCAAGTTGCTGTTGGTCTTTTATTCCCGCAGTAAAATTGCAGCTTAGAATTATAAGTCAAGAGTTGTAGAGCTGAGATGCTAAAAAAAGGGAAACAACTGATTACCTCGTACCGATCCAATAATTGAAGGCACAATTATACGTGTCCTACCGCAAGAATGCTGCAAACGTAGGAACCGCTATTATTAAGTTTCTCCCGATATTTAAAATAGAATCATGTGCTGAAGAAGCCAAACTTTTGAGGGAAAACAACCTATTTTCTCAGCAATTATACTCTGGTAGATGAAACTACTTTGCCTCGACCTCAAGCAACTATTCCATCTCCCCGGAGATCAAATTGCATACCTAACGAAATGAAGGAACTTTGTAAATCTGGCTCTGAATGCTCATCTGGGATGCCGCGCTGCCTTGGCATTGCCATGAGTTTGCTGTAACCTCTAGTACCTGATTATTTTGTGTTCTCGGAAATGAAATTGCATATCAACGGTGAAACTACTAGACCACGCATCTCATTTGCGCAGTTTCAAATAATTCGCTCCAATTTAATTTTTTTTTCGGGGAGAACAAATCAATATCATTCCTTGAAGTTTTCACAGAGTTTTCCTCTCACAGAGAAGAAAAATCACGGAAGTTCTAATGCATTAACTTTGAGTAGTTTTCCATTTAAAACATAAAGTACCTATGCACGACAGGAAGACTGCAACGCCGCAAACCGAGATACGTGGTCAATGAGCTGATTGTTGAAAATGGTAGACAAAGCAATAGACAAAGGAGACAAAAGGGATATGGAGAGATCCTATTGGTGGAAGCGGGTGGTTGTAATGGACAAAGGAAGTAGGTAATAGACTAACTAACGGTAGCCCACGAGAGATCCTATAGTTAGTCCATCATTGCTCCCTTAGCCCACAGGAACTGCCCATCTCAACCAATAGGATCGCTCCATACTCCCTATGTCTTCCTTTTCTATAGTTTTGTCTATCAATTTCAACAATCAGCCGTAGCTCAGGAGTAGCTTCACCGTCGATATGCAGCAAAAGGAAAAACATGGATGGAACTGAGTGAATCTGGTGGCTTGTGAGCACACTGGAAGAAAAACACATTGGATCTAGAGTCCAGACTCTTGAAAACATTGACAAGGAAAAATACTCTTAATTCAATCAGATTTTTGCTTAAATCAAAAGGAAATCCGCTCAAATTAAGAGGCTTGGTTATTGATTTAAGCTTAAGTCTGATTGAATCAAGAGTATTTTTTCTTGTCGATGTTTTTAAGAGTCTGGACTCTAGATCCAATGTGTTTTTTTTCCAGTGCAGTTCTCCACACAAGAGCACGGAGGAAAGCATGCAGAATGGAGGTGAACTATTAATGTCGCTGCAGTTGTCTGATTTTATTGCTCGTGCTTTCAACAAACGAAGCTCGCAATAATACGCGAAACTGTGTTTGATGAGGGGAGGCGGGACCGAGCTAAAACGAAGCTATTTAAGCCGGGTATCTTAGACGAGCGGCTGTCAATCGAAACGTCAGGTTTAAACGATGAAGCCATCAATCGCTGGCGACTCCAAATGAAGTGAGGGCGCCAATTGCGTGATCTTTTTATAACCGTTTTCGCGAGCGATTCACGCCCGACGGCGGAAAGAGAGCGGAAAGGAGTCAAGTTCGGGTTTGGGGCACGGATATCGATCGACAAGGACCTATCAACAGGTGGCGATTCCTCGGCGGCCACCCCGCCGACCCTTGTTTGTTCATTTGTTGTAGTAACTGAGCAGTGAACACTACCGAACTGCAGCCCGTCGATAAGGGTCGCAATCAGGGTTGCCGCTTCATGAGGAATCCACCCCTATTCGATGTAAGCAGGTGTTATCGCCGAATAAGGGTCTCGAATGTTGAGCAAGCTGCGGGCTGATTGTTGAAATTGATAGACAAAAATACGGACAGAGAGGACATGGAGAGTACGGAGCGAGCCTATTGGTTGAAATGGGTGGTTTCTATAGACAAAGGGAGAAAATGATGGACTAACTATAGGGTCTTTTTTGGGTTGCCGATGGTTAGTTTATTACCAATCATCCGCTTCTACTAATAGGATCTCTGCATACCCCTTTCGTCCTCTTTGTCTATAGCTTTGTATACCGATTTCAACATCACGCTGCAGTTTGAAGGGAAGCATCTGAGTCTGAGCTTGTCCCTTAGGGGTCTTAAAGGACAATTTCTTTGAGGTAGGATGCGGGGATCGATTCCTGTCCTTCGTAAACCTTCAACTTCATGGAAAATAACAGTCTCCGATGGAAGTTCTTTTTTCAGCTATTTTTTAGGTTTTCCTCATTATTCTCTGAAAAATTTGGAAGTTTGGTCACTCTTATATAATTCAGGGGAAAGATACGGGGGTAGGGGAGGAGAGGCACGGGGAGTGAGAGCCTGCCTAACGGGTGCCTGACGAATCGATACAAATGCATCAATTTTTTTGTAGGACAATGGTCAAAAAATTAGATTTTGTATAGATTTTTTCAAATTATTTTGTTTGTCTATAATTTGCGCTTTTCCGGTGATATTGTCAAAGTGAGAAGAAACTTTTTTAGCTTGGAAGGTCATCTTACATGAAAGAGTTTTTGACGGGATGAAGAATGTAGATACTAAAAAAATTTCAAGTCGGAATATAGCGTAAATATATGTTAAACACATACAGTATGATTTCATTGCATGGGCTCGGACGCCAGATAAAAGTGCGCTGTAGAAGTGAAGTTACAGAATCAGGCTACCGACCTTCAGTGGGAAGCTAATCTAACGAGTTTGACTGAAATTCGACGATAGGGGCCTCGACGCAACTATTCGGGCTCAAGAGCTGTCCGTGTTGCGTTGAAAAAAATGAAGGCGCTTCAACATCTCTCGCCTACCCGATTCAAGTTCATGACAGGCGTTACATGCTTGCTGATATACGACATTGCTCGTATAATGAAAACACATAGAATGGTGGAGCTGCCTTTAGTGACTTAATGAAATCAGTTTGGCTCACTATCCTAAAAATTCTCTTAATTTTAAACTTATTTCACCATTCATTAATAAGAGTGAATAGACCTCGCTGAAGATTCATACTTGAACTCAAAATCAGCTTCGTCTGCATAAAGTGCTATAGAGTTGTGAACATTTTAATACATCAAGCAGTCGTGTCTTTTGAAAAATCCGGTCTTTTCTTCCTAAAAAAATTACACTTTATGATCTTACATTGATTACTTAGATCTGCATTTGTGTCAGGAAACAAGCCCGCCTTTTCTTAAAAGAACTCTGCCACCTTTATTCACATTATTGTCTCTTTGAAACATCGAGATCTTTCACAAGAGGTGTAGAATTATGCTCTGAGCACTGATTCTTGATTTAATCTTTATTGCAGTGGCGTACCTTCGTATTTTTCTCGAGAATAAGGGAGTCTATGTTTAAAAATTCGTCAGATGAAAAGAGGGTGAATGCAAAGGTAGGTATTGTAAAAATCTTACAGGACATTTGGACGATTTTAATCAGAATCATCATAACTGCCAGTGGCGTAGCATGAATTGCAATGTATCGATTGTTATGCCATTTAAACCTATAGAAAAGGATCTATAAGCAGGGTGTTCGCAGCGAACACTTTTAATAATCGATTCTTTATCATAGGTGTAAATGGTATAACAATCGATACATCGCAATTCACGCCACGCCACTGATAACTGCATCATACGTTGCCTATTAATTTCTCGAGTCTTATGTTTTTATCAAACAACTACGTAACACTATACGTTAAAATTTTGTGATTTTACCTTTATAATCGAGGGAAAATTAACAGAGAGTTTCGAGGCGTTATGTTATTTAAATTTCTCCTTAGAGATTAAAAAATGAGGAAAACAAGACAACGGAAAATGGTATTAGACTTCATTTTGGAATTAGGTTCATAATTTCTTGCTCATTCTCTCTTCCTCTGGCCACGCGGATAGATCCCTGGAAAAAATAAAGTTGCTGATTTAACAATTTCGTAGTTTAAAAAAGTGTCCGATGTGTTTAAATGCAGTTTTTACAATAAAAAAAAAAATTCTGATTTAACCACCCCTGTGGTTAAATTAGCTGTTCAATATTTTATATTTGAAACATATCGGACATCTTTTTTGACAATTTAATTGTTAAATCAGCAATCAATTTTTCCGTGTCTATAACCCTAGCAGGAAAGAATCCCTCTCAAAATCGTTCAGATGTTTTTATTCGGTAACCTCCATCACAATTTTGCACTCCAGAAGGTGTCGCTTGAGGAGTGCCTTCGCTTGAGCCTTCAATTTTGCATCCACCTCTAATGCAGTTGGGGCACTCCAGCATGCATACGACGATCAATTTGTAGCTGTGAAACACCCTGCCTGATTTTTACGAATCCACCATCTCCGAACTTATTGCCCCAGGGCATGACTCCCAGCCAGTAATCGATTTTCTTTTGCCTGTCTCTACCCCAGCCGATGACTTTCAATGTGACGTCATCCAACTTCCTCGCATCTTTCGTTGGTGAGTAAATTCCTGAGACAGAAAAAACAACGTTGCATCATCAATTGCACCATCCAGAGCACACTGAGGGAGATTTGGATCTGGGGGACTTTCACAGCTCTGAGGGAGAGTTCGAGGAACTTCTCTTGCTCCGAACTTGGACTCAAGGAGCCTCGGTCTCTCGGAGAGAGTTTTGAAAAATTCATTCGTCTAACGAGCAATTTTGAAATGCTGTCATTAAAAACTTGATTGCAACACAATTGAATCAGTGAGAACGAAAACACACCAGCTCGGTACCTCGAAAATGCGCTCTTTTCACTATGGACAGACAATTTTCATAATGGTCATTGAAGTTACCGTATCTGCGCCAACTTGGACATTTCAAGTTTCCTTAAATACTTGATTTTAGGCCCCAAAAATATTTTTCTTGAACTAAATTCTTCACCTGATATACAGTTTTGTGTGTGTGTCTTGATTATTTTCATTTTTTTGAGTTGGTGTGTTTTCGTTCTCATTGCTTCAATTTCAAATATGGTTTTTGTTAAGGGCTAAATAGATTTCTAGGAAAGCAGGTCCCTTAGTCTCACTAGCTGCATCCTTTTTCGTAATCAACTAGAGAACTTAGATTTTCACCTCAGCTGGTAAGTTTAAAAGAAAGAGCCGTTGATAAATTATGTGAGGGACTTTTTCGCTCTTAGACCCTCTTCCTTTCTACTCACCTTTTTTATAGCTGAAGAAATCAGAGAAGAGACGCATTGTGGCCGTGACGGGGCCATTGGAGATGATTTCTTGCTTGATGAAATCTGCAGTCCAGGCTTGAGTAAATTGGTCTGAGTTCGGGATCGTCCTCACCAGATCAACTGAAACATATTAACAGGACCCGGTTGAGTTTTATTGTCCTCTGCAGCATGACGACTTTTTAGGTGCAAAAAGTGAAAAAACAACTCAAAACATGCTGAGACGGGGATTAATACTGTCGTGCTAAGGAAAAACGCCGTATCAACCTTCAGGCGTTGCCAAATTGTCTTTGATAAAACATGAATTCCCTGGTAAACTTATGAATATTTCTCTTCCAATTTTCAGAGAATTTTGTTCGTATTTAGATCTATAATTCCCGAAAATTTCAAGGAAAAATATTCATAATTTTCCTCCCTGATACCCTGTTTGGGTACTTTTTAAAGGAAAATTTATGAGAGGTAAAATTTATTCGTGAAAGTGTTTGAAAAAACTCTGAAAGAGTCTACTGTAGTTTTTTAACACTTAACATTTTAGAAAAAATGTAAAAAAGCTCTTAAAAATTGGTAGTTTTTCTTCTTCGTTCCGAGAAAAGACACAATTTACAGCTGAATTTTCAAAGAGGTGAACCTCTTAAGGTGCAATTTCAACAACCGTTATACCCTAAGATCAGAGGATTTTTTTAAAATATACCACTTAGTATATGTATTTCAATTTTAAAGGCAGTTTGGATTCGCAATTATTATTTATTCATATTACACCATATTGCCGGGAAAACACACGTAAAAGTATGTCAACCGGCGCAAAACTAGAGCATTGGGTGAAGAGACAAGAATCTTGAAGCCGTGTTAGGCCAAGGTCATACTAACGAATCCAAACTACTTGTGACTGAGTGCTGAGGTGTGAAAATCGAAGGGTTCGAAAGAATTGGGAGGGTTATGAAAGCAAAGTGAGTGTTTTCTTCCCGCTTGACGTGAAAGGTAATGAAACCACTTGACGATTCCTCCCATCCCCACATTAAAAATTTATCGCAGCATTAAATGCCCGTCGCACAATTTACGAGAAGTCAACGCTTAGATTCCCGTTTTTTTCTATACCTCAAAGGAAACTTCAGCGAAAATTAGGCATTAGATAATGGGCAACCAGACGCAAGCTCTGAATAGAAAAGTCACATGTTTCCTTTTCAAAATTTTACGTAGAAGCAATTCAGAAATTAACCTCTTAAAGAGGTATTAACAAATATCATCAACATAGATCGCATGGGAGCTACAGACTAAATGAATGAAATCATTTACATTTCTGCCACTACATACACGTATCGTTATATGGCGTTCCCCGGCGCGCTACGACACCTAACCGCCAATGTCCAGTATCAAACCGGAACCCTTTGCGTATCGAGCACTGAATCATTCCTGCTTCAATCCCATGGGACTATAGAGGGTATGCACACCTCCAGCCCCAAACTCTTCAACTCAGAATAGAGCGTTGCTCGCGCCACGACTCCTTCAATTTTGCAGATGCAACACGGACATCCATCAAGCACGAATAGTTGTATCCTCGCGCCGTCATTAACGCGCATCCTTTCCCTGACTCTACTTCCATTTTAAGTTCGTTTTGTTATTCTTATTCGTAGAAGTGCTTCAAAGGATACGTGACAAACGCGGCCGAAGATAAGAGAGACGTAATTTGACCTCCTTTTTTAACTTTTCTCCCGAATCTGAGTGACATTTCCTTGGCAGCATGGAGCAAAGCATTGCAAATACACGCCTCGTCACACCTTCAATTTCGCAGATGCAATACGGATATTCATCAAGCATGAACAGGTGTATCTTGAGACTGTCAGAAATGCGCGATGAAGCAATTCTTATTTTTGAAATTTGAGAAAAGTTAAGTTCAGTTTCCTCAAAATATACTATGACTTGTTAAATCAATAATCATTTTGGAAACAAAAGTTGTTAAACAAAGAAATAAATAGGGAGCAATATGTTCCTTAAATTCCTTACCCTGAAGGGCCACGTCTAAAAGTTGGTATTTTTATGAGAGTTGTGTCGTATTGGGGAATGTTTTTTAAGCCTGCCCCTAGAAATCCCAAGCTAGGTCAGTTGGCTCGAGTATCTCTTCTGGTGGATTTGCATTTGGCAGATGATGAAGGGGAGGGGGGAAGGAAGTACCCGTATGTTACCAAAAATGTGTATACTAAAAGAAAAGCATTGCTAACCTTCAAAAACATACAAATTACTTAAATTATACTTCAAAATCCATGTTGACGGCGTCAGTCCGCAATCACACATCTCACTAGCGGTGTCTGAAAATCTTCGCTTCTATGTTATTATTTTAAAAGAGTACAAATTGACACCATTCCTTGAAATTTTGACAGAATTTCCCTTGTACAGAGAAGAAAAATTACGGCAGTTTTAAAGAATTGCCGTTCAATAGTTTTCTGTTTAAAAATTGAAGTATGACAGGAAGTCTACGACGTCGCAAACCGAATCATGTGATTGACGACTTACACCGTCGATGTGTTTAAATACGAGTCAATTTGACTTGACTTGGTACTTGGCGTATTACTCCGATTTACTGAAAACTATTTTTTACCAACAAATGCTACCAATGCACCAAGTAAATGTGATGGATCTAAGGAGATACGTACTGTTGTAGATGTGTGGTTTGGTTTCTTTGGTGCTGCAGTGTTTGTCTGGGTTGGGGCACGTGAGAACAGGGGTTTTCTTCAAAATGCAGCTGTTTGGGTAGGTGCTGTAGTCACAGGGAGATTGAATCGGGTATGGCTTGCAGCCGTCCGAAGAACCATAGTCCCCACCGGTCATGATACCAGACTTCTCGATGAATTTCCACGCCTGGAAAGGATAACTACTCGAAAAAGGAAGGTTAAGTCAGTACTAAAAACAAAAATGAGTGCGAAAATTTTGCAGACCAGCTTCAAAATGACCTTTATTAAAGACGTATCGGTACAAATTTGGTCTAAGTACAACATTCTGTTGTATGGTACACACATATATCGACGGTTAAATAAAAGAACGCGTACCTCCATTGTAACGTCAAAAATCTTCAAGTTTGTTTTATTTTTTTTTTCGAAAGAAAAATGACCTGTAAATTTCCCGTAAAATATCCCCGTATGTTGTAAATGATTTTAAATGCTCTCAGGATATTTCAAGAAAAACTTTTCGTTGGTTCTCATGTGAAAATTTCACACTAGCGAAGACTTATCACGTCACAATCGGAGATACACATTCTTTATTTTAGCCATATATTTATTTGCGTGTAAGTTTAAAAAAATAATTCAGTGCTATTCATGGAACGCTACGCCTGGCTGGCACACAATGTCTTTAAAATGGCAAGTTTTTCCGTCCAAGAGACCGATTGTTTTTTCTGTGAAGTTCATGGGGCACTATAAAGACGAAGTTGAATTAGATTTATGCGACTGTTGGTTACATTATAAGGTATCTTAATTGAACCGGACACTAACAAATTAAAGTTCACTTTCCTCGGTGATACCAATAAGACGCTAATCGATAATCCGATCCAATAAATGCACGATAATGAATAATACAATTAACCAATCACACAATTCCATTTCACCTAAGTCCTGCGTAGTGGCTAATTAACTGTAGAGAAATTAACCCATCATCATCCTGATATACTGACTATGAAATTGCATTTTGAAATGCACGGGTATTGACGTCATGCATGGTTATAGTGCATGATATGGCCTAATTTATCACTCAGTGATGCACACATTCGCAATAGTCGCTCCAAGACAGGATGCACAATGCACATGCATCATTGCAATGAAACGAAGATTAAAGGAACCGTGATTCGTAACTACTGCGATTAATGATGCTGGTCATTCAGGAAGGAGTGGCTTTCAAAGGGGGCACGCATTGGTAGATCCAGCACGTTGGCAACATTGTTTTCTCTCGTTGTAAGCCTTTTGGAAAAGTCTCGGTTTTCGGAGGGGCCAGGGTGTGCTCTGATAAGAATCGATTCTTCAACAGTTTTTTTTTTTTTTTTTTTTTCTGTTATTTTACGGCTTTGTGTCTAAGCACCTGCAGCCAATTCTTCAACAGTTTTATTGGATGAATGTCATTGTTACCAGCTTGCTGGATCCTTCTCTGGGGCACAAGGAAGAAACGTCCAAGGGGTGACATTGGGGAGGGGGGATCCTTTTCATCAAAATTTTCTTTCCTATTTTTTCTCTCATTTCATCCAGCAGGGTATGAGCCCCCTCCCCTCCTCCCCCATCTCCCTTTGCTATGTGACTTAGTCACTGCACTCAATCATTACACTGATAAGCGCAGAGGATAAGCGTCATCATTACGTCACATTTCTTTCATTATTGACACAAAATTTACGTCATGCGGACCACATTTAGTAGAAAGGGACCGAGCCACATCAGTGATTGCCAAATTCAATTGGGCAATTTAATTTTTTACAAGAGAACGTTTGTGCGGATTCCTTTAAAAATTTCAAGGAATTTGCTTCGCACCATGCAGAAAATGTTTTCATGTAAAAATTAAACTGTCCAGTAAAATTTGGCAATAGCCGATGTGGCTTGGTTCCTTTCTGCTTAACGCGGTCCATGCTGCTGTGCTAAGGAAGAACGCCGTATGAACATTCGAGAGTTGCCAAATCTCATTCGATAAAATGTCTATTTTTTTAGAAAAATTATGAATGTTTCTCCTTGAAATTTTCAGGAACCCCAGTGAAATTGCGAAAAAAATTATCTAAAAAATCGGAAGAACATTATTCACAAGTTCACCAAGAAATTCGTGTTCATCAAAGGAAATTTGGCAACACCTGAAGGTTCAAACGGCGTTTTTCCTTAGCATAGCAGCATAGCGAAGTGAGCAAAGGGAGACGTGACTAGCACACAATTTGACTTCTCTTTAGTCACATCTAGCAAAGACACATTGCTATTTGCAATATTACGTATTGCACTACATATTGATTTTTCTAAACTTATCCTCTACACATGAACAAACTGCACGTTACTTATCGGTTATTTTGGCATTTGACAGATGGTTTTATCGTGTTAGGGGTGGTTTAATTCGTACCCTCCTTTGCATCCGGATCCGCATGTTTTGCAGCACTGGAGAGGGTGCAACGGAGACAACTTCAGATTCTTCTTCTTCCCGCCTGAATGAATGCAAATTCTGTCCGAAATAGCTTGCACCACTGAGGCAGCCTGCAGGGTGCAAAATACTTTCAGCTTGATACTTGAAGGAACTAAGCATAAAATACCCCTTTCAACTCAATTAATAGGGTCAGTGAAAATGAGTTGGGACGTTCATTCTGTAGAGGAGGAGGGAGATAGTCATAAACAAGACAGGGGAAAAAGGTGCTAGTAAGATTGACAGTACGAATATGAGAATGATAATGGCTGCATCATAAAATGAGTAAGAGCAATCGAATAAGGACGAGATGATGTTCACGATGGATTGATAAAAATTATAAATATTCAGTACAATATCAACTTAGATAAACTTTTTCTCTTCATCGCGGACAGTCAGAAAACAAGTAGGTATGTACACTAAGGCCATAGAGATTTTTAATTAAGATTAAGGTGCGACAATTCCCTATTAAAGGTTCAGCCGACCTACGTTAATTTGATGGACACACAGCTGAGTCTTCCCTTAATCTTTTAAACTTTTAAAGTGGGAAGATTGTTAATGGGGAAGTTGACGATTACTGTATAACACAGGATTCTTATTTTGTTTTTCGTATAATTTTTTTAGGGTTTACAATTGAACTTATTTATGCAAAAAGGATCTATGTGCATGGGATTTGGGTGCAACATAGTTCCTTTTAGCATAAATACGTCAAATTGGGGAACCGGAACCCCTATGCAAAAAAGGTGGCCCATGACGGCTCGTGGAACGAATTCTGCGGCCTAATGATAGACTAATAAAATGTAATTTTTTAAAAACTTTTCAAAGTTATTTTAAGAAAGACGCATCATGTCAAATACAGGACATGTGACAAAAAAAGCGCACAATTACTTAAGATTGAGCATTATGAAAAAGAATTGTTTTTACTGACCCAATGAGAGGCGCAGAAACCAGTGTCAAATATAGTAGAAATAGTAGAGTTGCAGGCCGGCCAGTGATCCCTGGAATCGAAATTTTCTGGGTAGAGTTTATCTTCAGTTTTCTTGCCGAATATTTTTGCCGGTTCTGAGTCCTTTTTACCCACAGTTCGGGCGTTCATCAGATTTTTCGAGTAGCCATACAACTTCCTCATATCGCCGTCCGTTGTATTTTCGTGAAAATTTCTCCCGGGCTGAACTCAAAATGTAAACGAAAAATATGAGATTTTTATACTGATAAGAGAAAAACTCAAATTATATTATCAAAACTGTAGTGAAACGCGATATTCCGAGTTTGAATGGTTCGACGGTATCTTTGAGTGAATTAAAACTACTGTGGGAGAAGAATAAACAACAGATTCGTAATGATTCGATCATTCATCAGTATCAACACAAGACCTGACTAAGTGGGTAACATTAATATTTTGAAGGGGTAAGTTAATCACCGCCATTGTCTCTCTTAGACTATTAAACCCCCCCTCTCCCTTCTCCTCCGACCAATTAAAACGTTTGCAGCATTCATCTATTTCTTTCCCATTTTCTTCCAACTGGAATATTCGCTCCATGACCATGAGCGAGACGTACAAAACGCCTTCAAATATAAATGCCCGCAACATGTCTTGCATCTTAGGTGTTCCTACGTCCCAAGAGGGGTATTCGGTGATTTAAGCAAGAGGACTCGTCGCCAGTTTATTTTGAAAACTCATTATTATTGTGACCAAAATAAGTTCATTTTGTTGGTTGTACCAGATAAGGTGGGCTTTAAAACGACTGGAAAAACTGGATACTGTGCGAGATGGGTCGCTTGTGTCGCAGCATTGAGTTTGAATGGTTTTACGAGAAGCATGTAGATTAGCAAAAAGCGATAAAAGTCGAGAAGTCAATTTTCTGCATTCGATGTAATCGAAGAAATCACGTATCGAAAAACATGGTTGATGACGTCATTCATCTCAGAGATACATACATGGTCTCTTCTTGCCGTGGATAAAGTAATCAACTATGCCTTTATTAGAGAACGAGGTATAACATCTGAATTTAAAGATGCATTACTAAAAACCCTTTGCCCACCTATCCTATATCCTAAATATTAATTTTTTGTCACAGTTAGTCCTAACGTTCCAATGGTCCGAATCTCATGAGTTTTACGGCTATCAACACTTCAGCATGTCCGCTCTCTTCAGATTTTGGAAACTCAACCTACGGGGATCTGCGGAGCGAACCTTTGGCGAGCGGAAAGCTCCCTTTGGGGATCTGGCTACGTATAGGTCAGGGGGCGTGCCCTCTAGTACTGTATCTCTTCATCAAAATTTTACGGAGAAGGCGTTTCACCCGCACCGGATAGTTCGGAAACCAACTCCTACGTAAAATATTATTATTAATGTGTAATACGACTATCAATTTCTGTATCGAATGCTAGGGTTTTTTCTGAACACTTTTCTGCTTTCATTTCTCAGAATTTTGCCAATTTTTGGGTTTACAATGATTCTTTAGGCTCATACGCAGAGGCGCTATCGTTCTTAGTTTGGCTAATAATTCAAAATCTACCGAGATTTTTGACCTAATCGATGCTATATATCGCATGCCAGTTAGACCACGTCACTTGAGCTTGATGAATCACCTTACCTAAGGTAGACGAAACCATATCACGTGCCACTGCGATGGATGACGTCACCAATTTTGTTTTCAAAAGCTTGATAATTTCGTTAAAAACAAGGGGCTACGCCCCCTGCCACTCGAACCTCTCGATCCGCTTCGCGCCTCAAGCGGAATAAAATTTGGAAGAACGTTCCTCGCGACGATCTGTGCGCTGCCCGCTCATCGGAAAATAGAGCCATACTTCGAAGAAAAAGCACAAGTTCTTCATATTATAATTTTTGCTGTGTTCTTTTGCAGTGAATGCATTCTCAAAAATATTTATTCTGTAAATTGAATGAAGAATGCTGATGGAAGGAAGGTTAATACGAAACCAATTGGAGAAGAAAGCAAGTTTTAACTTGTGGAACGAGGCGTTAAGAAAATATATAATATGAATTTGTTTTATTCAATTGTTGTATTTTCCATTAGATTATTTTTTTTCTACGTTTTTAAAATTTATCAATTAAACACACATATAATCTACATTTAATATCAATTATGGACGAAAATTGTATTTCTAATTTAAGGGATTAGGTGGGAACGAAGCCAACTCATAACTCCTTCTTCCCTCAATGCTTTCAATCTCCTTCTTCCACTCAAGGGAATCAGTGATTTCCTTGCATATCGACCGTGAAATTCCCAAACCAAGTATTTAATTTGCAGTGTTTAAAATCTCCGCCTCCATTTTATTTTCTTAAATGAGAACAAATCAATTTCATTCCTTAAAGTTTTCACAGAATTTTCTTCTTTTCGAGAAGAAAAGTCACGGTTGTTCACAAGAATTGACGTTGAGTGGTTTCCCAATTAAAAAATAAACTATGACAGAAAGTCCGCAACGTCGCGAACCGAGATACGTGGTCTGGTAGTCCACCGTCAATATGTGCAGAATATGCCACGTATTCTTGCGTTGTCCAAATCTGCAGTCGCGTCGGAACACCATGAGGGAATACTGATAATCTTAAACTGTAGCAGGATTGTGAATTCAATAATCATTAATTTAAAATCAGCCAGTGAGAGGAAAAAGGCTAAAGGCAGGATACATTTTATTCCCGATGTAGATCATTTGATGACGTAAAGCTCATAACGACCCGAAGAAATCCAGTTGGAGAATACTTGAGTCACTTACCGTCCATGTTAAATCGGTGCTCTTCTTCAACTGTCTGAGGTAGCATTCGCAAAGGTACTTTGCGCCTTTGCCACTGGGCGCCACGGCGGCGTCAACGGCCAGGAAAAGGACCAGGAGGAGGGCGCAGCTCCATATGAAGAGGGCGCGATGATCCATAGCTTGGGCCGTCAAGTTCAAAGCCCAAAGCTGCAAGCTCGAAGTTCCAACTGCAGGCGGGCAGGACTCGAACGTGCGGCTGGGGCACAGTCGCTTCAGTGGCGGCGCGCCGCGCCTCCCCCAACATGGCAGACGAGGACCCCCTTCTCTATCCCCCCTCCCCCCTGTCCCGATTTCCTCCTGCCCGCCCGCAAAAGCTCCGAAGGCAAGTCAGAGGTGAGACGATTTGGATCTTCGCGAAACGAGAGGTTGGAATTGTGCTCTAGTTTCGCAACATTGCCGGATCGAATGCCAAGCCGATAATGTCGCCCAGAGAGTAGAGCTTTTCTGCGCGGATTGGATGATCGATAATCAGTTTCGGCACCGAAGTGGCAATCGGGATCGAGATTTGAAGAGGACAAAATTTGAAAAACGATAACCGTCGGTGAGATATTTATCAATCTTCCTCTTCTTCTTCTTCCTCTTCTTCTCCTTCTTCCTCTTCGTCTTCTTTTTCTTCTTCTTCTTCTTCTTCTTCTTCTTCTTCTTTCCTTCTTCCTTCCTCGCCTTTGACTTTTCCTTCGATCACTCCGCCTTGAAACCCTCCTTCTACCCCTTCACCTCCCTCCGCTTCCTCTCCCCCTTCCCTCTCACTTTCTCTTACATTATCCTCCTTCTCCTCTCCATTTCCCTCCTCCTTCTCTCCTTCTCTCCTCCTTCTTTCTTCTTTCTTCTTTCTTCTTTCTTCTTTCTTCTTTCTTCTTTCTTCTTTCTTCTTTCTTCTTTCTTCTTTCTTCTTTCTTCTTTCTTCTTTCTTCTTTCTTCTTTCCCACCTTTTTTTTCTTAACTAAGTTTCCTCAACTCCCCTCTTTCTCCGTAATATTAAGTTAAGAATAGGAGTTTGGTAACAGTTTCTGAATTTCATTTCGTACTCAGAACCAAGCTTTCTCGGTTCAGATAGCCGAAGCTTTCAGTCATAGTCATGTCATTTTTTTGTCTCTCATTCTTTTGCTCATTCTCTTTCTCTTGCCAATTTTTCTCTATCAGTTTCTTTATGGCTCTCCTCTTCATCCGTAATCTCTTTCTTCTTCTCAATTTTCATCCCCTCTTCCCTCTTCTGACATCTCAGTGGAAAAAATATTGATTTTTCTATCACGCATCGACCAGACTGTTAAGCGACTGCGAGTTCATGTACATAAAACATAACATATTTAGTTAGGCCGTTACAAGGGTAAATTGTCACCCACTCTCGCCGATGAAACTCCCAAACCAAGTATCTCGTTTACGGTGTTTTAAACTCCCCGCCCCAATTTTATTTTTTTGAGGGAGAACAAATCAACGTCATTCTTTGGAAATCTCAAGGAATTTTCTTCGTCTGGAGAAAGGATATCACAGAGGTTTAAAAGAATTGTCTTCTGGTAGTTTTCCTTTAAAAGAACAAAGTATGGCAGGAAGTCTGCAACGTTGCAAACCAAGATACGTTGTCTGGCATGTCAACATGTGGCGCCCCTCATCAAGATTAATGAGTGGGTGAATGAGGAGAAAGGGAAGAAGGAGGAGAATAAGAAGAAAGGAGAATATGAAGAAAATGAAAAAGCAGAAGGCAAACACAAGTAATTCTCTTCAAATTTGAATAAGCGAAATAGATGCGCGAGATTTTAGCGCCTCTACGATTAGCGCTCCACGTGAATGCGTGAATTTTATGCCTCTCGCTGCAGGGCCAAGTTCAGTTGAAACTTGGGTGCTTCCAAGAGTAGAGGCATCCATATTGGCATCGGTGTGACATCCGAAGTCAAAAATTGATTGAGATCTTGCTTGCAGTGTTAAGTGTCCATTAAAAGATTAACGAGCCTGCGCTGGAAGATTTGGAAACAGACACCCTCATAACTTCCATCATCGTCCCGCCGGGAGGAAGGTTACCTAGCTAGAGTAGACTTATTATCCGCTCAAATAATGTACGCGCTGGTGGCGTGACGTGAATAATCGATTAACGATATTTCCCCATTTGAAGCTATGGTAAAGAATCGATTATTAAGGTGTTTGTTGCGAACAGTCTGTTAATCGATCCTTTTCCATATGTTTAAATGGCAGATCAATCGATACATCGCATAGCACGCCACGCCACTGGACGCGCTGGTGGAGCTCGGCACTGCTGCAATGTCATAAAATAACTCATAGCATTCAGTTGACTTTTGCGTTTTTAGCGAGAGCGAGCATCAGAAGATCATGAGAGCGAAACGCACTGAACACTTTAAACCTTGATACGTGCATGTTATCTCACGCCATCATAGATCTATAACCTTAAGTCAATTTGAACATGTACCCCCGTGCAGGCGGAACAAGGAACGGTGGGGGGGGGAGGGTAGAAAAGCGTCTCATTAAGGGGAGTCGGGAGGCACTAACAGACACCCCACAAAGAGGGAGCCGTGGGACTCCTCAAACTCCAAAAGAGGATTTGGGGGATTTCCCTATCTTAGATTAGGGGTCCGAGGGGGGGCGACTTCAGAGAATTGAGTAAATTCAGGATCATTTCGAGGTGTTCTCCTCAAAAAATCGATTGAATTATAATTTCAATGTATAATCTTGCACAAAAAGATTAAGAGACAAGAATTCACAAGAAGAAAAAAATCTACGAAAATAAAAGATGAAAGATTTATCACGCGCTTTCTTTGCAAAGCCCCTCACGTTCCTTAGAGGAGGCCGAGTAGATTTCTGGTGGGGCCAGTCCCCTTTTTTCTCCCTAGTTCATGCCCATGTACTGCGGAGACACGCTGTGGCAAACGCTGGCCGTGTGAACATTCGAATGTCACCATTTTTTTCTTCAATTAAAAAATCAGTTCTGAGAGAAGCCATGAAAACTCTCCCTTAAATTTCGGAGATTTTATTTGCAGACAAAATTTCCTGAAAATTTTAGAGAGAAAAAAATCACAAGTTTTCCGGGAAATTTGTATTTTATGAGGGGAGATTAGGTAATGGCCGAATGTTTACAACGCGTTTGCTCAGCATGATCAAATTGAATTATCTTTCTACACAGAGAAAAAAACTTCGTGCGTGGGACCCAAAGTTTAGGTCATATGGATCTCTGAAGTTTTTGGATAGAGCATTTGAACACTTTAGGTCCAGCTGCTGAGGTTTGGATCACACATCTGAAACTTCAGTTCTTACATCTGAAGTACTTCGGTTTTCACATCCGAAAAACTTCGGTTCTCACATCTAAAGTACTTCAGTGTAAGAACTGAAGTTTCAGATGTGTGATCCGAACCTCAACAGCTACTCGAGGACCTAAAGGGTTCAGATGCTCAATCCGAAAACTTCAGAGATCCATACGACCTAAATTTCGGGTCCCACGCACGATGTTTTTTCTCCGTGTAGACCTATGGACTTTTTTCAAAGTCTTTGAACGGGACATGCTAGTATCGAATGGAGTGATGCCGACTTAAGCTCATCTCTCCATCGATATTCTAAACTTCGTGCCACCACAAAATCCCAACGGAGAGTAAGCTGATCCGAGTCTGCGGCGGCGTGCTGCAGAACGGTTGGGAAATGACAGGGTAGACAGCTTGGCCGCCGTCGCGTCGCTGCCGCCGGAACGATAGTGAAAGTGGAACAAGGCGTGTTAAGGCAACGGGGAAGGGGGGCATGGAATCGGAGGGGGGCGAGGGAGGGAAAAGATCAGCATTCAGCAGTGACTGATGAGCTGATCACGGCCGTTGGTTGTATTATCAATCGCGAAGATCGCCTGAAACACCGCGCGCCACCGCGCACCTTGTGCATTTCGCTTAGCGCCACACTAGTATCGTGCGCCAACCTCGAGGTGCTTCGGAATGGACCACTTGACAGGATGCAAAATTGGACGTATTTCTACCAAACAGACCTATGTGGCGATGAGAAATGTGGGGTGTGCTCTAGAAATCTGCATAAGAAGCAATGTAAAAGTGGGCGTGGTTCCTTTTGAAGAATTGGAAAAGCGGGATATTGCATTCTATCAAACAGACCTATGTGCAACTGAGTGCGGAACTCATGAGCCGCGGGCATGGCAAGAAAGCGTTGTGGACAGGGCTCATGAGTTACAGCGCCCCGACGACGTTCTTCCCCTCGCTCCCGGGCGTCATCATTGCCGCTGACGTCACTGGCGCTTTATTATTCTCATTCACTCTTACGGCCAGAGACTAACGAGCACACCCCATATTTCTCACTTCCACATAGGTCTGTTTGGTAGAACTACGTCCAATTGTGGACCGTAAAATTGTAAACCACAATGCATGTTCCTTAGTCAAAATTGCTTGTGAAATACTCAGTGTTTTTCGATGGGCAATACCTGCGTCGATAAAAGACGAAGAACCTTGGCGTTTAGACAAATTTTAATATTTATCGCTAATCTCATATAGCGTGAACGATCAAAACACGTAACTGTGAATAGCCCGACTGACCCACTCAACTGTTAAGTTTCGGTCAATTCTAACGTTGACTGATTCGGATGCGCTGCCCTGGTAAAAATTGGCGATAAGAGCTGCGTTTCAAAATACCATAGAAATTCTTATAGCCGGCTGAAGAAGGCCTGTAGAATGCGGAGAAAATCATACGGCCAGGCTTTACGAAGCGATAAAAAATTATGCAGCCGGGCTATAGTTCCTATAGCCGGGCTTTACACTTTATCGCCTGGCTGTTGCTTTTTCGCCATTGATTATAAAAGGCTATAAGAAATTGTGTAGAAATTCGTGTGCTTTGGAAATCATTAAGTTTGATACGGAAGCACCTTAATATTTACAAAACACACGTTATATTTTCCTTTAATACATATTTTTTTCATCAATTAAAACGAGATTAATCCATATAGGACGTGCAAACATTTCAAAATCATGAGTTGAATAACGCTGACTCCGCCAGATTAAATATTAGAGCCTGACACAAAGCGGAGCGGCGACGCACTGGCGCCTACAAACCTAACAGGGATACTTCACGCATTGCGCAACGCGTGAAGTATCTCTGTTAGGTTTGTAGGCGCCAATGCGCGTTTCGCGCTGGCTGCCCGCCTGCCGCACCGCAGCGTGCCACGGCGCTTGAAGCAACTATTTCACACCAGAGGTATTGCACAGCATCATACGAAACTGAAGGCGCTCTAATATATTAGGAATGACAGGCATCCATCAAAAGTACGGAGCTTTCCTCGCAAAATAAATCAAGATACTACGGCCCAAAAAGAGAGCATTGGTCCAAAAACTCACTAAGTCCTAGCATCCGTAATTAGTGACGTTTAGCACACACTTTATCGCCTGGCTGTGAGTTGCTTCATCGCCATCGGCAATAAAAGGCTATAAAAAATTGTGTAGCCGGCTATAGAAGCTATTGGAAATCTTACAGCCGACCGTAGGTCTATGGTATTTTGGAACACAGATTCTACTGCCAATTTTTACCAGGGTATTCTAGCGATACCGCACGCACATCTGAGGATGAATTTATGCTATGAGATTAATATCAGTGCAACTTAGTATCAAATAATTATTAAAACTCACAAAAATATAAAACTACATTTACTAGAAAAAAAGAGGAAAAAATCCTAATATTACATAGTATACCATATTAAAAATAAAGTAAATGTAAAAATAAAAATGCGGGTATACGCATCATTTTCCCACCGTTTTTCCATAAAATCTCGCGGTTCATGGTGAGGTCTTACCTCCAAAACATAAACCCAATCGTCGATTTTCCGGAAGAGGCTCTCTTTAAAATCACTTAATTTAAGCCTCGTAACTTAATAATTAAAAATGAAAATTTAGGAGGTTCGATCATTAAACGAGTACTTTTGAAAGTTGTAGTTGATTTATTCTATGTCGGTTTCGATTTTCAGTTTCTACCCAAGAGATCATATCACAGTCTGCGAACGCAACTTGAAACCCTACTAGTGCGATAAGTTGGATATCTATAATGATTTACATTTCTAATTTTTCAAAAAAAATTATTTACGTCAATCATCTTTTAACACGCAAGTCTGTCGATATGGGTGAGTTTCTAATGGAGTTCTTGATGAGCAATACGAGATTTTCCCGGTGACTCATTTTTCCATCATGCAATCTATGTGGTAAATGGTTGACAACACTTTTTCCACCAGGCTTGTCACGCAAGCTAAACTAAACGATTAAGTTTGAGCAAAAAATTGCTATGGTTGCTTTCTGACCGTGTTAGGTGGTCCGCTGCACTATCCTTAAATTCTTCGCAGGAACAGGGAAATATGATTCAACGGAAAAATCCACGTCAAATTTTTTAAATTGGATTTTCACCTTCCTCCTCTGCCTTTAATCAAAAGCTCTGACAGATTAATGCTGATTTTGATGGACGTCAAAAAAGCAGGGTTATTTTGCACGCAAACGTTTCCTATAAAATCGTTCCTCTATATTCATGCGTCACCAGTCAGTACTTCGGAACCATGGCGGTTCTTGCAAATCATTCTCTTTTACTTTTCATAGGACTCCTTTTTTCGGTAAGACTCAATTTTTGCAAATCCATTTTCTATAATTTTGTAATAGACCATCAGGTGAATTTGTTTTGAGTATACACTGTTAAAAATAGTTGCTTTGTGTTTCGGACTTTTCGATATATCGAGTCCATTAACCCGTGGATTGAGTCAACTGAGACTCTGATTTAGAGGCAAGTACGTAAAATGCTAACTGTAAGGCACTGTTTAAAGTCATTTCTGAGTCAGTTAGATTAAAAATGAAAAATAGTTAAATATGACCGTAAAGTAAAGTAAAAGTTCACTCAATCTCACATAACATGAAAAACTCCCAAATCAGCGCTTTAATTTGTACATTATCAGTGCCTCAGTAGGAAATCATTTTTACTTTTTCTTTCATTGAAAACTGAATCGTCGAATTAATAGAGGCTCCCTCTTGAACAACACCATTTTGTAATGAAGGCGAGAAACGAACCAAGGTGTTGTGGTTAAAAATTGTAATTACTAGGATAGCTTTCGGCCTACGCTATCACCAGAGCTTCTGTAAATCTTGAAACATAAAAATAATCAACTTAACTTCAAGTTGAAGTTCAAAATGCGATTATGTTTATATTTCAAGATTTATAGAAGCTATCTCAGTAGTTAAACTTTTTAAGCACAGTCCCTTGGTTCGTTTTTCACCTTAATGAATCATCGAGGATACATTTTTCTATTCCAGACGACTTGTTGTCCAACATTTGCACATCATGAGAAAACTATTACCTCTCCTGATGGAGAAAAAATCCAGATCAAATATTTACACGAGGTTATACCAGTGGAGAAAGAACCAGAATCAGTAGGACAGACTATGAAGACCTCTGAGGAACTCAACACCCTAAAAACCAGAGGCATAAATTTCGAGGGTCTCAACATCAACAATGGCGGCTCCGATGGAAAAACCAGCTTCCTCGATAACGTTAATGGTCTCAGTCTCTCCGGAAAAATGCCGGATAGACTAACTCTCACGAATAACAAAAGGATAGACATCAACGACGACGATTTGATTCTCCGCGGCAACTCCAACAAGAAACTCCGCGTCAACGTAATCGGCAACCAGGTTTACATCGACGACAAACTGGTTTGCGAGGACACCCAAAAATTAGACAAAAAGGCGACATACCAGAAATCCGATGACGGAACCTTCTGGTACACTAACATCAAAATCGGCCAGCCCATGTCCGAGGCTGAAATCCAGAAATTTGAACAGGATAGAGCTGAAAACATTGTTGAAAACCGTTTCAAAAAGCAAGAAAAAAGCGATGAACCTTCGAATTGGCCTTTCGGTGGCCCGTCATTTTTCTCATCCGGGGGTCAAGACTGGTTTCAAGACTTGTTCAAGGACACCAAACCAACATCCTGGAGGGCAGGAGGGTCAGACAACGAAGGAACACCTTCAAGGGGTAGAAAACCAGCCTCGATAATCAGGAACAGCAATCAAGTGATCACCGGCAACGCCAACCACGGCTTCACCGATGACGATCCGATGCCGCCACCGGTCAACGGTTCCAGGCGTAGACCACCCTTGTCGATCATCAACCGCAACAACGTTTTCAACGGTTTCGGCAACGGTGCTATCATCAGCAACGGGGGAGCTGTATTCTCATCGACCACACACAACTGGATCGGTCATCACGTCGATGCGAACCAGGACGGGCTCGTCTTGCGAGGAAGCCTTCCAGGGGGCGACTTGGATGTCTCGCTGAGGAACCACCAAGTCTACGTCAACGGGAAGCTGATCGCGGATGACGTCAGCAAGTTGGGCGAAAAGCTCTCGTACTCCAAGTCCAGTGACGGAGCTCTGTGGCATGGGAACGTCATCGTTGGAGAGGAGGTGACCGACAAAGCGGAGATCGACGCCTTCGAGAAGGAGTGGACCGCGTTCCAAGCGGAAGTAGAGAGGAGGAACAGAGAGAGACAGGCGGCTAGAGAGAGACGCATGAAGGAGAAGCAAGCGGATGAGGAGCTTCGCATGAAGGAGAGACTGGAGAGACAGGAGAGTAGAGATAGACTCAGGAGGCAGAGATCAGCTAGAAGGCAAAGAGGTTTCAGAGATTTTTATGGTGAATAGAGGACAGCTCCCAGGTACATACCCACTATATATATCGACGGCGTGAGTCCGCAATCACATATCTCGTTTGCGGTGTCTGAAAATATCCGCCTCTATGTTATTTTTTTAAAGGAGAACAAATTGACACCATTATTTTAAGTTCGCAGAATTTTCTTCGCACAGCAAAGACACTCAACGGCAGTTTTAAAGAACTGCCGTTGAGTAGTTTTCCCTTTTAAAAAATGAAGTATGACAGGAAGTCTGCCACGTCGCAAACCGAGGTATGTGATTGCCGACTTACACCGTCGATATCCATGATTTTGAAGTTAACTGAGAAATCAAACGAGTATTGGCATTACCAATAAGTCGAGAGTGTATTTTTTGCAAAATGTGATGAATGTGCTAAATCCTTGGGGTAAACCTTCAGGGTTTATTTACGTGTCATTTGTATTATTTATATTATTAAATTTCTGTGTGACTTTTAAGAGCAAATTAATTTTAGTTCTTCCTTGATGTAGCACCACCTACTTTTGCAAATTGATGGCTAACAAACAATGCCGCCCATCTGCAAACTGACGATTTTGCCGAACAAGAGAAAACTTCGTCATTTTCGTAATTTTAAGTTTAGTTTTGCAATTTTTTCATACATTACAACGTTATTGAAGAACGCTCAAAAAATTAAAATCATAAGCTGACGAATGCTCTCTTTTCCTCTCCTTTCCTCTTTTATCAGAAACTATGAATTTCCGCATGAGCCTTGGAAAACATGGATTTATATGTAAAATAGGGCTCACGTGGAAATTAAGATACGCCCTTACGTCAGAGGAGCGACGAATTGTACAGCAGATAAAAGTTTTAAAAATTAGGTCAACCGATTGTAAAGCTCGTAAGCAAAATAAAACCTGTAATTTAAACAAATAAACTAGTAGTTGGAAGAAAACATTAAGTTAGAAAAGATACAGAAAAAGTAGGCTAAGAAAAAACATCCGAATTCATCCCCCTCATCCCTGTTGAATTGCTTTCTCAAATAAAGCCAGAGCTTTGAGCTCTGTAGATATTGTGCATAACTTTGTTTTTCACATTGGAATTTTTGAGTGCCTCAGTTCTATTTAATTTTATATCTTTCCCTCTGAAATAAATTAGATATTGTCATATTTTATCTCACCTAACTCGAAGTAATCTAATGAGTTTTTTGTCGGTACAAACATTACATACAAGAGGCAGCAAGGCACGAGAATCGATGATTAGTATCTTCTTGGCTTTTTTGGGTGATGTTTTCGTTGGTTAATGCTTAGTGTAGGCAGAGTAGATCTTAACATTATTGCGTGATATTTACATCAAATAAAATCGAGGGGCCTTGAAACATTGATGATTTTATCCAAGATCATGGTGTATTGAGGATTAATGTTGCACCAGCGATCATCTCTCCGCTATATCGCTTCGTGGTCCGGTGGCTCATGTACTTTGCATGCCTGGGTTGCAACATCGTATCGTAAAATTCAAAATAAAACGAGGGGAAAGATATACCAAAGAGACTCCTTAAATGGCCCCAGCCACACGCGGTTCACATTGTGATAAAGGGAGATTTAAAGAGATCTTTAACACGGCATTATAAAAGGGACAATTTTAACGTATTTCAAAGTTATGCCTATAAATTCTACTCGATATTCGTCAAAAGTCTCCTTTCTATGATGCTGTGCTACGAACTCATTAAACCTCCCTATACTATTAGGAGTCTTTCAAGGAAAGGAGCTCTTTAAACGACTATATGTACGAATACAGCCCTGAGAACCAGCGCAGGAGCATGTTTCTTTATAAAAATGTCACAAGACTTACATGAAAATTTTAAATCAGCTTCTCCTATATTCGCCAACTCGAACACGCCGCTTACGAAAAAAACCAAACTTTTCGAGTCGAGATGTACACTAAAGTGATTTTTAAGTGCTTTTCAATTAAATCACTTCTCAGCATGTTGAATTTTTCCTGACCATTTTAGAGTTATCGTGTATCATAAGATATAGCGAATTTTTCTTTTTCATTCTCAAATGATTTTTCGAGCTCATAAGATTGTTTCCGGTCGCTGATATGAACCTCGCTAATTTTCGTTTTTCCGGGAGGGAAAATTTTGAAACCATTGATCTTGAGGCAGATGCATGATAGGTGCTGTTTTGTCAATTGAAAATTGTATCGTACTTTCAATTTGATGTATGCCCTATCAGCTAAATCTAAACGAAGAAGCATATTCAACAGTGCTATTTTTTTCACCCCATCTGATGGTCCGCAATACACCTCGGCCTGCGCCGAAAACAACGCTGAAAATTTGTTACGTGATTTCTGCGTAATTTTTAGCGATGAGTCCGAAAATTATCCTATTTTCTCCCTGTGACCACGGATTTTTTTTTGGACGGTAGAGATTATCCTCAAAAACGAAGGTTTCTAGTTAAATGGTGAGATATACATGCACCAATTTTCCACTTTAACACTTATCAGTTTGTTTTATGTTCTGAAGGATGGGGACTTTAATTTATCTGGAGTGTCTCCTCTTATGTGGCTTTTCCAACTTATTTTTTGGTGCAAAAAAGGAATATTACCTCGGTTTTTCCTTCACATATCTGTTTTTCAGAAAATTTAAATTTAAAAAATTGTTTCTGTAGGAGTAAAAAACGCGTATTTTTGGTCATTTTGATTTTCCAGAAAATTAGTGGGTCTCGGAAAAAAGTGAAGGTCATTTTTGGATTCAGCGCTCATAATTTCTCCCAAGAAAGGAAAATTACATAAGTTTTTCTAAAAATTGAAATTCAAAAAAATTGCCTCTTTGTTTGGGAGCTAAAATCGCGTGTTTTCGGTCATTTTGATTTTCCAGAAAATTAGTGGGTCTCGGAAAAAAGTAAAGGTCATTTTTGGATTCAGCGCTCATAATTTCTCTCAAGAAAAGAAAATTATATCAGTTTCCCAACAAACTGAAATTCAAAAAAATTGCTTCTTTGGGAGCTAAAATCGCGTGTTTTTGGTCATTTTGATTTTCCAGAAAATTAGTAGGTCTCGGAAGAAAGTAAAGGTCACTTTTGGATTCAGCGCTAATAATTTATCTCATTTTGTGATCATCTAATGACACCCCAAGTTTTGTTTGTTATTTTATCGTTTTTTGCCAGATCCAAGTATTTTTTCTGCAAAGCGGCAACAGGGGTGCTGATATTTCAAATGTGGGGTTCAGCCTCGTGAGTTGCGCTCGGGGTCCAAGACTCAGCGGCGCCGCTGACAGTCGGTCAGTCATTCATTACCATTCGTTGCCATCATATCCATCCCGTACTTACTTTTTATTTACCTTTTACTTAGTTTCGTTTCAGCTTTAAAATGCAGTCCTTAGTTTCGGTTGGTGTAATTTTTGCAGCCATATCTATCTCTTGTCTCTACGCCCTCTCTGTAAGTGATTGAATTTGATCGTCTCGTTCCATTGTGAAGAAATTTTGGGTTCATCTTTTGTGTTCCTCCTCTCCTCTCCTTCTGGCCAAATCTTATTACCTACTGCAGATGCTAAAATCATCAAATACATGGGGTGATCCAGAGTTGAACGGCCAGACTGCAAGAGCGTGTTCCGTGGGTCAAAATAAGACTTTTATGTTCTGAAGAGTTTTTCCAAAAATGCCCCCAGTCGGAGGGAGCAACGCCCCCCCGCCCCCAAATTTTGGAAAGTAAATCGTTTTTCCTGAATTTTGGCAACATTTGTGAACCAAATCTCAAAAAAAAATTGTACTGTCCTGTGCTTTTATGCCCCAAATTCATAAGTGATCTAAAAAAAATCGAAATCTGAATTTACAACAAAAATTTCTTATTTTGACCCACAGAACACGCGCCTGCAGTCTGGCCGTTTAACCCTGGATCACCCTGTATTGCGACAGATTTGAATAATGATGATTCAAAGAAGCTATAAGAGACTTTATACTTTACTAACACGCTTCTAAAAGAGGAAAAATTTGCGAATTACATATTGATAATGTGAATATTTTAAGTTTTTCGATAATTCTTTAGCCTTCTTTTTCACTTGACGTCACGCTTGTTTTACAAACATCTCATACCTTAAACGAGCGTCTTTTTGCCCGTCTCTTGGAAAACTAAAATTATCGTGTATAGAAGTAACGAAAAACAAATTTCAATTAAAAATTTTAACTGAAAATCGTGCACGCAATACTTCGTCTCCTCACGAGAAAGCTCATATGCAAGTAGTAACAATTCGGCTGCTAAAGCTCCCTTGCTTTACCTTAGCAGTAAATAAGCGTGTGGTTTTCACAGGCAAACCATTCAAATTCAAATTTATTTTCACTCGTTATTAGTTTCGTGTCTATAAAGTGTACATGTGTGTACATGTGCACATGTGTACATAGTAGGTCCATTTCTCCAGACCCCCCACCTCCCTAAAATTAAAATTCAAGATCGACAAAGTCTTGTACTATAGTTTTGTACCCAAATGTACCGCAAAGAAAAAGTTTTGTACCCATCATGTAAAGTACGTACAATTAAAACGCAGGAGGGGGGGGGGTCTGGAGAAATGGGCCCTACATGTGTCATCCAAAACACTAATTAGGAGGCATACTTATTGTACTGGTCCATCAAATCAGGTACCACCCGCAAAAATCAATAACATTCTGAGTGAAGTTTAGTTTTCAAGGCATCTTAACGTTTAGCAAACCTTTATGAAACTCTAAAATGAACAAATTTAACTAGAAGGAGACTGCAATCGTCCTGTCTTTCCCTCAACTAATGTGTGTTTGTTTACCTTCGTATCAGTAAGAGGCGGTAGGATATACTACTCCCTGTAGCGCGGCGTCCGTGAAATGAGTTTCATTTCGTTCTGATTCGCATTCAGATTGAACAATAGCAACCATAACGAAAGGTGTATGGTCCAGTTTCGTAGCTTCAATACACGAAAAATGATATACGGCTACACTTGACCCACAGATCAAATTAAAACATATTATCATACACCATTCGATAGATCAAATTCTTCGCCGGCGCGTTTATGCGTCGCATGCGCTGCGGAATTGCATGGTCAAGAGTTAAGTGTAGTTTGCATAATAGCGAACATTACATTCGTTGAGACAGTGCACTGTTGTCAAAAAATAAAGCGTATAGTCATACCAATGTCTGATGTGCATGACAATGTTTTTTATGGGTTGCGCACCATCAGACATCTTCAGGCTGTTCTCCATTTTCAAATTTGATGCTTCGAAGGGGCTCGTTACCCCCAACTTGCAAATCGCTGGCCAGTGAAAGGACTGGTAATGTTCATCGAGAGGTAAAACTCCGAACGTGAAGGAGAGGGAAAGGCCTCCAGTTAAACTGGTGGCAGTTTTTTCCTTTAGCGTAAAAATATTATTTCGAAAATGGGAATGCATATTTATATAGTGGATCCCCTTTTATAGGTTCCGCGACAATGCGACATCTTTCCAAGGCATTAGTTTCATGGGGAATAAGGGATTCCGGTTGAGTGGACAGAGAATTTTCGATGTTCATTCGATTTCACCCACTTCTTACTGAGGAAATTATCTCCTCTTCGGTTGTCATTTCACTAGAAATTCGACTTTATATCCACTCATTTGCAGATAAACGATACGATGAATCGCGTATAATGAGGACACTTCGAAAGTTAAGTGCAGTTAAGTGAATTCGCGGATAACACATTCGCGGATATCGCGGGGATTCACAATGGAGAATTCGCAGGTGTCTGAGATTTGATAAAATTCGTGTTTAAAAGGAAATCACTGAGTGAGAGGATATTCTTGGTTCATAAATTGAACAATTATTGGTGGGAATATGACTACTTGATATAATATGCTAAAACACACGTAATTAAATGGGAAAAGCTGCAGATGAAGTCACTAGGCGGTGCATTTTCTCACTTTTAAATCTATTTTAATACTATTTTCCGTATCAGAAAATGATTATAAAAATGTAGCTCTTTACTGACTCTTAGACGAAGCAATACAAAATTTGCGTGCAAATTCTCCATTAACTTTTTGGAGCGTTTTTGCGTTTTGCGCTATGAAACCTCTTCGGATGCACCTCGGAAGTTGTGGCGAAATTGTGCGGTCTCGACAGAGAAATGCGGAATTTGTGCGTTCCTACCATTTCTTCCCCATGTGCGTGTCTTAAACATGCGAATGAACATTGCGCATAGTTTTCTCCTTCAGCACGCACTTCATTCCACCGGTTGCCCCGTCGGATATGCGTTACGTCTCGGCTATTTGCTGGGTTATTAGTGGCAGGTCGCTTTTCACCTTGGATAATCATCTGCACATGTCATGTGTCGAACACTGTTACCGCGGATGTGGTCATCGTCCAGTGAAGAGACGAGACAAGGCGCTCAGAAAAGGTGAACGTAAGTCTCGCTCAAACGCTCTCATACGCTGCCTAGAGTACCTTTATAGACAGAGTATGGCCATTCGTATCTTTTTACTACAGGAAAACTGTTCCGCTTTTTGATTGGTCAACGAGTTTTTAGGCTTCATGATGTTCTTAGGGCCGTAAATAAACAAACAAAATGGCGGCTCAAAGTAACATCGATAAGAAGCTAAATTTGACAAAAATTTCAATTATGCGGCAGTAACAATTTAAACTAGCATGTCTACGAATAACACACGAAAAACACATGAAAATATTGTTAAATCGCCTTTCACCTTTATCACAGGAGGATGTAAGATGTGCATAACCTCAATCTTGCTTGCTGATAACAGCCATCTTGTTTGTTTATTTACGGCCCTAAGAGCATCGTGTCAGCCTATTCGCTCGCGACCAATGAAAAACCGGAACAGAAATGGCCATACTCTGTCTAGAAAGGTACTCTAACGCTGCCGAGCTAAGGGGAAACGCCGTATAAACCTTTAGGTATTGCCAGGTTTCCCTCGATAAAACACGAATTCCCTGGTAAACCTGGGAATATTTTTCTTTCCGATTTTTCAGATGATTTTGTTAGCAATTTCTCTAGAGTTCCTGAAAATTTCAAGGAGAAACATTCATAATTTTCTTCAAAATATGGACATTTTGGTTTCAGGCCATTCCGTCAACGATTTTTTGTCCACGCACCTATTTTGTCCTTTAGCTTACGTCCACGCGTGAAATAAGAAACAGTGACTTGGTTCAAGCGTTGACGGGAATTTTGACACGGAGTCACCTTAATATTCACAAAACACACATTATATTTTCATGTAATACATGTGTTTTCCCCATCAATTTAAAAGAGAATAATCCATGCAGGGTGTGCAAACATCTCAAAATTATTAGTTGAAGAATGCTGGCTACGTGAGTTTAAATATTAGAGTTAAACACAGAGCGGAGAGGCGCGCGGCGTGCTGCCAGCGTGACACGCGCACTGGCGCCTACAAACCTAACTGGGATACTTCACGCATTGCGCAATGCCTTAAGTATCCCTGTTAGGTTTGAAGGCGCCGATGCGCGTGTCGCGCTGGTCACCCTAGCCTGCCGCGCCGTAGCGCTTTAAACAACTAGATCGCAACAGAGATGTTGTACAGTATCATACAGAATTGAAGGCTCTCCAACGTATCAAGAATGACAGGCATCCTTTAAGAGTACGGAGCTTTCCTCGCAAAATAAATCAAAATACTGGGGCACAAAAAGAGAGCGGTAGTCCAAAAACTCACTAATTGTAAGTCTTAACAGTTAGCACATGTATTTAATAAGTTTAGCATAATTTTTGAATTTCATTAGAAAAAAATTGACTCGATATATGCTTAAACATTCTTGAGTATGCCGTAAGAAGATTTTATTTTGAATCAAGAATAAAATAACTGAATGAAAGCGGGTTTTTGCTTGAAGTAAGTGAATTTTCTTTTAATATGACCATATTTCCTTTAAACAAGCATTATTTTCTTTATTGATTCATAAGGGTATCTTCTCGGCGGTAAATTTGAGCATATTTCCGCTTGACTCAAGTTAGTCACTTTTTCCTCTGATGAAGTTCAAAAACCATGCTAAACGTCATTGAATACAAATACTAGGACTTCGTAAGTTCTTCTACTACCACTCTCCTTTTGTTGTCGTCACTCCATTTAATTTGCGAGGGAACTTCTCTTTTCAAAAGATGCCATCAATCATGATACATTGGGGTGCCCTCGATCTCGTATGATACTGTGCAACACCTCCGTGGCGAAATAGTATCCCCGAAAAAACTCGTGGACTCCTAGAAACTACTAGAAAGAACAGGTGCGTGGACAGAAAATCGATGACGAAAAGTCTTATAACCAGACATTTTATTGAATGAAATTTGCCAACTTTCGAATGTTGATGAGGTGATTTTCCTTAGCATGGCTGTATGGACCGCGTTTAATAATTAGTTAACTGCAATTTCTCTTCACTAAAATTCCCCCAAGGTGACGTTAAAAACCAACAACCAAGACCAAGTCCAAAACCAACATTAAATGCAAATGAACTGTATAGTAGTGTATATGTATGGTATACATTAGAAACAGTAATAAAAAGTAAAATAATAATTAATCATACCAAAATGCAGTTTTAATGATATAAAAGCGCTTTCAGAGGATGTTATCCGTACGTGTTATGCCCACGCAGCGCGTCAACCCATTGTTATTTCATACTTTCAATTTGGTTGTTTGCTCCCTATTTTTTACATTACTAGTCGATTCTTTTAAGTCTCTCTTCCTCTTACAATTAAATTATGACGATTGTAACCTTGCCTTTATTTTTATTTTTTAACTGTGTGTGCATTATAATTGCTTGTTTTCATCATCTTACATAAGTTTGTGCATGTCATTGATGGATTACTTGCAGCTGGCACTGAAGATGGGCTGAGTGCCATAAATGACCATAAATAATTTAATAATCATGAACAACTGCATCTTGGTATTATTCATTATTATTTTCCTTTTTATCAGATAATATGGATGCAAATTAAATTCTTGAGGAAACCAACTATATCAGCCGTTAAAAGCAAAAAGCACACCCTCGGCAAATACATGTAGAGTTTTGTGTCACAAAGATATCTCCTTTCTTTGGATACTCGATAATCTTAAATTTTTAAAGGAAAACTCATTAAACTCAAAACCCTCTTCATTGTGAAGGACATGGACTTTAATTGGACTACATGTTTTAATCTGGAACTACAATTGAATCAGTGAGAACGAGAACACACCAACTCTGTACCTCGATAACTCTTAGTTTTCATAAAATACGGTCAAATTTCATAAAGGTCATTGAAGTTAGCACATCTATTCCAGCTTGGACCTTTAATAGGTGCTTAAGTCCTTGTCCTTCGGCATTGAAAATCTTTTTCTTACACTAATTTCTTTACCTATCGTGCGGTTTTGTGTGTGTCTTGATTATTTTCATTTTTTCGAGTTGGTGTGTTTTCGTTCTCACTGACTCAATTTCTGGCTAGTCATTCGAAAAAAACGTATGTGTACAAAGGCACTAATGTTACATACGTTGTTTTTAAACTGAGAAAGCATTGTGGTTCCTAATTGCAAAATGAAGTCCAATTAAAACTCCACCTTTAAACCATTACATTTTCGGGCTTCTTCATTTTTTGACTTGCTCATTTCTGGCGTTTCTGCTTCCTCTTCTCTCCTATCATTCTTTGTACTCATGCTTTCCCTCTTTTTACTTCTCTTTCCCCCCTCTTTCTTCTCCTTCTCTGTTTTCTCTTCTTCCTCTTTTTTTCTACCTCCTCCTTCTCTCCGTTTTTGATTTTTGCAAAATCGATGGGTGTTTTTATGGATGAGCCAGATATAGCAGTTTCTATTGCAAAATTTAGTTCAAACCCTTCGTCGCGTAGTAGTGCATTCCATGGATCGCCCAATGATCATTTAACACAAAAATTATGGAGGAACTTGTTGATAGTGGAGGAAATTGGCGCAGTGAGTGCTAAGGAAAAATGTGACGCGTCATGTAAGTGCTCGGTCGAAGCACTGGTGCACCAGTAATGATTTGAGTTCATCATCAGACATCGTTAGAAACGATGCTGTGCGGTGGCGCTTGCTTCCTCGATGAGTTGCATAATTTGCGAATGTCTTATGACAAATATTAGCATCTAAACAAGCGCGTTTTTACCATTTTGGATTTTATTTCTCTCCTCGCCAGTTTTCCCGATCGGGAATTTTGCATTCCAATCATATTTTACCCATTTCCGATAAAATTAAAAATTAAAATAAAGTAAAAAATAACTGCATTAGAGGAACGGATTTGATTGAATCCAGCCTAATTGCATTTTGTGTTTCCTAACGTTTGCTAATATTTGAATTTTTTTACCAGAAAGATAGAAAACATCCCATATTGATGTGTATTTTACTTAGATTAAATAGAGAATGTTTACAAAATTTAAATTCAAAATTTTGTTTACTTTTCTGTTAAGAATTTAAAAAAAAAAACGATTAAAAATTAGGTGACGTGTAGCGTAGTCATGTTAATTATGGTTACAGCCGTCAAAACTATCCAGTCATGGAGAATTTGCTTTGACAGTGGAGAGGTTTTTTTCTCTCATTATTTCTTGCAAAGAAGATTCAAATAAAAACATACAATGTTAAAAACAATACACGACACAAATTCCGAAGCATTAAAATTTTATGAAATGAAATCTAGTAAGTCACAATTCAAACTTGTATTTTCTTTCTGTTTTTCCCTGAAAATACTAACGAAAAAAAGTTAGATTTTGAATGGCGTTTTTCTTGCGGCTCTTTTGAGACCACGTCATTATCGTGTCTAGACCGAAGAATAACACATACCCAGTTTTGATTGCAACAGTCAATATGTAAATCGCACTCATCTGAATTTACAGCAGCGAAAAAAATATTGTGTGTTTTTCGTGGAGCTAACTGATTTACTTTTTTCCGTTACAGATTCGACAGGCTCCTGGATACGGTGGATATGCTCCTGTTGGATATGCTCCCGTTGCTCCAGTTTACAAAAAAAAGCCTGCACAAGATTTAAGTAAAATTCCAGGGACTCCGGGAGTGGATTACCCGTTGTATCATACAGTTCCACAGACCAGCTTCCACTGTGGGAATGTGCCCTATGCCCCAGGCATGTACGCCAACGTGGAGACAGGATGTCAGGTAAACTGAAAATTCTTTCAACGGACCTATACTGCCGTGCTAAGGAAGCGCCGTATAAGTATTTGAATGTTGCCAAATTTTTTTCTCAGTAAATATTAATTTCTGAAGAAAGTTGTGAATATTTTCCTTTGAACTATTCAGACACTTAAGGCCTTGTCTCCACGAGCCGCTTCACGAGATTTGTCCCAGGGAAAAATCCCACTTACGAAGTTGTACCAAGTATGGTACTTGTACCCGTAGGACCCACTGAGAGAAGAAGAAGTGAAAACGAATTGTGCGATATTTTATTCATTACTACATTGTTCATGTTTGTTTAGTTAAAATAATGTGTCTAATTGTCAATTGAGTGCAATTATTATTTAAATCCCGGTTAAATACTCGACTTTAACTAATTTATCTTCCCGCGCAAACTAGTCGCATGGACTGTATGAGCCCCGTCCCGTGGAGACGGTAAGTGGGAAAAATACCAGAAGTTTCATTCCTGCGATTCGAACTTGGGACAAATCCCATGAAAACGTCCCGTGGAGACAAGGCCTTAGATCCAATAACGAACGAAATACTGTGAAAAATTGAAAAAAAAAATCATTGCAAATTTTCCTAAAAATTTGTGATTTGTCAAGAGCATTGGCAACGGCTGAAGGCCCATACGGCGTTTTTCCTTGGTATGGCAGTATACCCTGAAGCTAGGGGGCGGGACCGGGGAGAGGGGCGTTGTATACCAGAATTCTACCATATCCCCCCAAAAAATTGCGAAAATTTTGATAAGCATAGTCACTGCGTCGTCTCCGCCATGAGAGAATTGTGCGCTGATTCAGTACTTATACCAAAATTTTATATTTCTTAGGAGAACCGTCTCACGAATTTTCCTAAAAATTGTAGTGTCTTTTCTCGCATGTCACTGAGAATTTCAGGCAAATTTATGAGATGGTTTTCCTCTAAGAACTACAATTTCAGTAAGGAATACCGGAAAAGCGCGATCAAGGTACGCTCCTTCTTACTGGGAGTCTCATCTTTGAATTGTATTACAATAATTTTTTTCTGCATGGTCCACCAAAATTACTACCGAGACGACTCAATTTTCAAAATTTGTCCATGGACAATGCCCCCGGACATAGCTCGGTAACTATTTGAAGCTTAAAGTCGTGAGATTGTATCACACTTTTTGAAAGCGCTGTTGCGTCAACCTGTATATGATACGGACACTCTCTTTTCCACTGAAGTAATTAAAAAATGTCTCTATGGTTCTCATAGAAAAGAACATTCCAAAAAATGAGACGAAGGATGTAACGCGTGAAGCGATCTCCTTCATTGTAACCTTAACTTCGAGAGTTAATTTACAAACTACGTTATCGACGGTGTAAGTTGGCAATCACATAACTCGGTATGCGACGTCGCAGACTTCCTGCCTTACTTTATTTTTTAAACAGAAAACTACTCAACGACAATCCTTTAAAACCGTCGTGATTTTTCTTCTCTGTGCGAAGAATACTCTGCAAAAACTTCAAGGAATGATGTCAATTTGTTCTCCTTTAAAAAAATAACAAAGGGGCGGAGACTTTCAGACACTGCAAACGAGTTATGTGATTGCCGGTTTACACCGTCGTTATATCTAAGAGACTTAGTTCCTTTGTACATCTGTAGTCCGTCTTATTTCTATCAGGATTATTCTCAATACTAGGGGGCCCTGCCCCCTGACCGCTACGCGGCCCAACCCCCGGGAGAGCGCCTCGCGCCCTCAAGCCCGCTTCGCGGGCTCTATACGCCTATGTATAGGCAAAAGTGTTCTGCCATTTTAATACACCATTTTGTGCTCGAGCTGCATCGATTTCAAAATTTTTGACGTAACACTCAGATTTGTAAATAATGATGATGTAATGTAATATTTTTAAATACTCAATTTAAAAAAAAAAAAAAAAAAAAAAAAAAAAAAAAGGATTTCGATCGTTAAGAGTTAATAATATTTGGTCCGACCCGACGCGACGCAGTGCTTGCCTTCTCAATTTGTATCTGCTGTAAATATTAATTGAAATTCAGCAGTCAAGTAAATTGACTAATGCCGTAAATCGAAGCCGGAAGAACGCAGGAAAAATTGAGTTAAACCTTACACCTTGGACCTTGAACCTTGAGCCCTGAGCGATGCACCGTTCCTCAAATCTTCGAATGAGGAGCCCTTCACGAGCTTTTCCATTGTTTTATTGTTTATTCGAGTCACTCAGGTAGAATCCCACACCTTGACGTTTCCAGCGGAAACGACATATCGAGGGTGAAACTACCAAACCACGTATCTCGGTTGCGGTGTTTAAAAATCTACGCTCACATTTTATTTTTTTAAAGTAGACCAAATCAATATCATTCCTTGAAATATTCACAGAATTTTCTCCGCACGAAGAGGAAAAATCACAGAAATTTTCAAGACTGGACGTTCATTAGTTATTCATTTAAAAAATAAAGTATGACAGGAAGTCTGCGACGTCGCAAACCGAGATACGTGGTTTGGTAGTTTCACCGTCGATATCTCTCACGCTATTAACATTGGACTTAAGTGACATGAGCTTTAAAAGCTCTACAACATTAAAAGTTCGGGGTTTCATAATTTTTTGCACATCTACATCTACTACAGATGACATACGTGTAAAGATCATCCTTATCGGTCCGGCAGTTCGTCAGAAATAGTGCTTCCAAGATTTTGCTTGTAGTTGTATAATATAGATATAGTTTTTAAGGGAAAGTACTTGAATCGTAAGTTGCTGTGGCATATGCAAGAGCTTTATTACACCCTGGATTTAAAGTTTTGTAGTAGAGGCCATAATGGAGAGATAGTTGAGTCAAAGACTGGGTGAGCACAAGCACATAGTCATAACACCAATTCTTCGGGACATTCAAGTAAAGGGGTCAAGTTACAGGCCGTGACGAGGGCGGTCATCGAAGAACACTTGTTTCGCAAGGTCTCACTACGGTTTGAACCTGACCACACCTATAATTACCTTTCCACCAGAATACATATATTGCAGTTACAGATAAGCTTATGACCACGAAAGACCTAATGGCCTTTTAGTTCGACTCGATTTTTCAGTTTATTCGTCAGCCTTGCACCAATGCATAAACGTTTACGGAGTATGAAGGAGAGTTGAATCTTAATAATTCGTCACCTTCCGGCCAAAGTATCACAAGCGCCATGCGACGTTTATAAATTTTCGCCGCCTTTTTATTTTCTTACGGAGAAATTTTTCAACAAAGCTGTCCGAAATTTTCGCTGAATTTTCTTTGTGTTGTCGATAAAATTCAACGAAATGCACAAACAGATTTATCAACAATTATTCCTCTGTTAAAAAAGTTAAATGGTGGCGGACATTTTTAAACGTCGCAAGACGCTTGTCATAATTTGGCCGAAAGGTGACTTGAATTGAGAGGTATTAGTTCGTGAAGAAAAAACCCTTAAACATCGATTAGTTCAAGATTATTTTGTCGTGGGAAAAATCATCCATTTTCCCACATCTCTGTGGGTAGTTGTATGGCTTCAGGAACTAACACCTACCATAGGTTAGCTCGTTTGTAGACTTGACATCCCAAAAATTTGGAGCTAAGTTCACGTCTCGTTCCGAAAAGAGTCTTGTCCTAATCATGCCCCTCTCCCGAAAGTTCAATTATTCATGTAACACTATTTATATTTACTCAATCACTTACCAACCCTTTTCTTTTACAGGCCTATCACGTGTGCCATGACGGTCGAGAGGGTGAGCAGGGCGCTTCGTTCCTTTGCACGAACGGAACCCTCTTCAACCAGCGTGAATTTGCCTGCGATTGGTGGTACAATGTCAATTGTCAAGAGGCGCCTTCCCTATATGCGTAAGTTCACTGTCAAAAATTAAAACAGTCACTCTTGAACTTACCTTTAAAGCAACATTTTTTACCAGAATGGACCACTAGACAAGGTACGAATTCAAGCAATTTGACATATGTTTCTTAACCAGAATTTCACATAGAACACAACTCGCGCAACGAAAAGTACTGAAACGAACTCCTAACAAAGATATTAACGTTTTTATTTCACGCTGGTTACGAGGAATTTGAACTGCCCGCTCACAAGAAACTCAAAGCTCTACGTGAGTCAAATCACGCACTACAACGGTTTCAGCAAGCTTCTCAATCGCGCAATGGTCCTTTCTCACCATGTGTTGTTCAAACTATAAGCAATTTGCTATAGCTGAGCCAAAGCGTCAAGATCGAGGTTGCCAGATTTTTATATCGCAGAGACTGTCATGATAACGTTTAGCGCGCGATGTGAATCACGTAGAGTATTGAGTTTTCATGAGCGGGTGGTTTGAATTCACGCATCAAGAATCATTCAATATCTTCGTGAGGAGTTGATTTCGGTAATTTTCGTTGTGCGCACCGTGTTCTACGTAAAATTTTGGTTCAAAAACATGTATAAAAATGCTGAAATTTGTACCTTGTCTCGTGGTCCATTAAGCCAGAAGAAAACTGTTTGAATCAAATAGACGACTAGTTGACTGCGTAGCTAAGTGTGAAGTGTCACACGAAAGTGAAGGCGTTCAATTCTGGAATTGTGCTATTAATGCCGTGTACCGATGAAACCTTCATGAAAATTTGAAAAAGTTCTGAGACCAAAGTGCCTCAAACTTAAAAATAAACTTCATCTTGAATCGCTACATTAAGGAGGTTGGTAACGGGTGCAGCCAGAGACAAGAGACCCTCTATTGCTACCCTGAATGGTGGAAGCTTTTATTTTCGGGACTCCAACATTCAACTGTTAACCTACCTACAAGGTGAATGTTGAACAACTTTTTGGTTTGGGTGTTTCGATTTGCAAACATACCGAAGTTTGCAAACAAACTTGTTCGGCTTATTAGGTCACCCGAATAACATCTTTAACCTAGCAGATATAAGGACTGTTGCTCTTTTATGATTGTCCATAAAGAAGTGTTGAATCCCCGAAAGTAAAAGTTTCCCTCAGTGGGGGGTCACTTATCTCTGGGTGCACCAGGCGATGAGCGTTAGAAATTGGCAACAACCCATTTTCATCCACTGTCGCCTACTCTCACCCAGAGTAATCGACATTTTTATCCCCCCTCCCCAAGGGTTTCCATAAGATTGGCGTCCATACCATCTGTAAATAAGTGCTGTCAACTCTTTCCTGGATCATGGAGGGGGACCAGATCACTGTTTTTTTCTAGAGTCTCTTTATACTGAGAGTCAAGACAATTTGAATCCATTTCTGATTGGTTCCCGGTATTTCAGGCCTTCACAGTGTCACAAACGGGAATAAAGATTACAGTTTCACCGATTGCAAAGCTTATAATCTGGAATGGACCGGGGAATTACGGGTTCGGCAAGGAACAAACGGAATGAGGGAAGGAACGAAGAAAGGAATTCGAGAACGGGCCGATCAAAGATTACGAAAAACGTTCAATTTCTGTAATCTTTATTCCCGTTTGTGACTCCATGAAGGGTGTTGTCTTGACTCTCAGTATAAAGGGACTCTAGTCCATACCATCTGTAAATAAGTGCTGTAAACTCTTTTCTGGATCGTGGAGGGGGACCGGATCACTGTTTTTCTCTAACTTTCATGATTTCACCAAGTCGATTTGTTTCCATTGTAGATAACACCTTTTTGATATTGTTTAGATTGAACGCGGACCCTGCTCACAACCCATTCGAGCCGAAGAAGAAGGCCGAGAGTGCGTACGTAGCTCCAGCTCCGGCTTACGCACCTAGTCCATACGCAGCACCCATTGCGGCATATCCGTCACCAGCTCATCACGCATATCCCGCGGCAGATTACTAAAAGTAATCCTCTGGGAACATTGAAACCAAAGACATAAAGACGGAGCGCTAAAAGCAAAAAATGAAGCTTCTTTTCAATCACCTCTACTATTGGCTAGAGGATTGGCGGCGAAATCGGGACAAGTTTGAAATTCAAATGTACACAGAAAAAAATGGATGGTGCTGACGACAGAACCTTTTGTTCCTACGGCTCCCACAGTTTCTTTGTTACACTTACAGAAATTTTCTATTGTGAGAACAGAACTTCTGTCGTGGGAACAGAGTACTCTGTTCCCACGACCAAAAGTTCTGTAAGTGTAACAAAGAAACTGTGGGAGCCGTATGAACAAAAGGTTCTGTCGTCAGCACCATCCATTTTTTTCTGTGTAGGGCGGGAACTAAATAAAATTGCGGAAACAAAGTATTCTAGGTTGATTTTTGCCCAAATTCACTTACTCACTCATATTTTTTTAACTTTAGGTTAGTTTTAGTCCGTCGTCGACCGATTAATTTCATTTGGGAGTAACGGTCACCTAGGACTGTAATGGCCTGTTTAAACCGGCAGAACCACCATGAGCAAAAGAAAAACTAACTTTATCTGAGATTACTGCCTATTACCGAGCAAAAGTAGGTGTATTATATTAGGACGCAGTCCCAACTTTCTTAATATAATCGTTTCAGGCATTTAAAACACGTTTAAAAGAAGAAATGTGGAAAAATCAAGAGGACAAGTTCAAATCAAATTTCTGTTTGCCGCCATGGATTCCCGCGCTCATTTACACACTCACACAAGCACCCAGCGCCAAACCAGGCTTCATTTTTCCCCCGTGCTTTTAGATACGAGCACTCCGTCTTTATGTCTTTGATTGAAACCCACCGCAAACCCGATTCTACATTGCTGCTCAATCACCCCGGAATAACAGAATAAAACAACCTAAAATGGAGATTAAGAGCATGCATATTATCGTTTCAAAGATGCGGAACGTAACTTCATTCCAAGTTTGCAAAATTGACCCAAAAACTTTCTCATGCAAAACAAATAACATTTAAAAGAAGAAACCAAGCTTGATCGCACTGTTTCAAAATTGTGTATCTTCATCATTTCATGAAAAAAAGAAAATGAAATGCTTAGAATGGCAAAAGGGCTGTCGTTTTGCTACCCGAAAATTGTTCATTTTAAAGGAAAACGATCGCACACACATTTTATCGATGAGCATACATATGAGGACATATATGTAACAATGGCGGTCGCTGACATCCACCATTTTTAGGGTAAACGCTTTTTTCGAAATTCAGAGCCTCCAAGAATGCCTGTGCAAAGTTTTCGACTTCCAGCGCAATTTTTCGGCGAGATACGAACTGAAAAACATGTTATTTGTAAAAACAGCGGATGTGAGAATCCACTGTTTTCCCCGGCCGGCCCGGCAGGACACTGTGGAGATTCGAACCCACTTGCGATAACTGCCACTCCACCGACCATGTGCTGTAGCTGATACTCAAATTGTACGTATCAGGACCGTCTCGCCAGAATTGTTGAATTTTTAACGGATTTTAGAATTTGTTCCTTGTTTTTGTTGTAAAAGTTACAGACGGTTTAGTTTCTTGTTCAATTTTGTTAAATGACTCAGCATTGACTTACTTTTGGTTCATTTCAATCGTTTCACCAGCCTTATACCCTTCCTGAAAACTTCGTTTCATGCATAAAAAAGTGTTTGCAGTAAAAATAGCGGATGTCACATTTTTTTCAAATCGCTGTTACTCCTTCAATTTTTCACTTACATATATCGTGGAACGTACGCCTTTTACCGGAGGAGTTGCTCTTCATGAAAATCTTTATAAGAATCCTCTCGGTTCTACGGGCGGAAAAGTGCAAAGCTTCAAAAACTTCAAACGCGATTTTCTCACAATGTAAAAACTCGACGTCCGCTATTGTTACAGATAAGTCCTCATATAATAATTTTTAATATAAAGAAGAAGAAGCACTATTTGAAGAGATTGGAGTCGGGCTAGTTCCTTCCTGTAAATGCATTCCAAACATGACTGCTCGCGCCTCTGTCCGAAAGTAATTTTTGTGTGTAATTAGAAGAAAAATCAGGAAAATTTTAAGTTAGAAACGCTCAACAGTTTTCCAGTAACATGGAAATTGCGATTAATAATTTTGCAACGGTGTAGTGCAGTTACTTTCACTCAATTAGGAACCGATGTGAACGGATTATTGAAAATATATGATCAATACAACAAGACAAGACCATCCTCAATCTTAACCATGCAATAGATCTCATTTCAATATCTTGTTGTTTTAACAAGTATTTCAATAAGCGACCCGCTTGGACGTTACGAGCACAAAGGATTTGTTTTTTTTTGCTCATAAAGGGAAAATAATGAATACATTAGGACTTAGAGCATACAATGCGAGTCCGACAATGCAATATACTTTTCAACCTTTCTGCTTAGGATACATAAGAGTCCATTTAAAAATGCAAAACCTCTAAATTCATGAGGAAACTAAAGGAATCGTGAATAGCCATGGGGTTTGAAGATTAATCGCCTTAAATAGCGTAAACTTCTTGAGTACAATATGCCTGTGCCATTAATTTTGATCAAAATCTGATACTGCGTATGATAACATCACACTAGGCGTTAATCAAGGAGGAAAATGTGTGACAAATCCTTAAAACTTCATCCAGAAAACTCTGTAGACCCGTCAGTGGCATGCTGAGGTGGAAACTTAACTTTATGTTCAATTTTGAGGCCCCAGCCTAAGGCGACTTTCAAAAGCTTGTTGTACTGTAAAATAAAAAAGCCGTATCACGATATATTTTATGGATTTTTTTTTTTTGTTGGGTCGAATGACTCAGTGAATGAGGAGGTTTTTCACTTTCGATGGATATGTTTTTCCAGAAAAATGTTAATATTTATTATTCAATGTATCTTTTTCTTCCTCTTACTGCATTTGTCGTCAAACATTTTGAAAATCAAGAATTTTCCAGAACCTGTAAAGCATCATGTGATAGGGTGTGAATTACTAAGCACTAAAAAGCATCGTCAGTTACTTTGTGGAAGGGGTACGGACCTCTATTCCCTAAATTACGAGAAGAAAAATCTGTTGTTGACCCGAATTTTTCTTTTTACGATCAACGAAAGATGTTGACTCTCACCTTCCAATAATGCTGAGCTCCACATGTTAAATACTTTACGCATGCTACTGCTGTATACATATGTATATAATGTTGCTCACGCAATACGCATGGTTAGTTGGTAAATACGATAATTTTGTGTTCCTATAAAATTAAAAAATAGTGTCGATGGTAATACAACCAATTCCGGCGGTCTTTAAGCATCATTTATCTATATTTGTTAAAAATGTTACTGTCATTATTTCATAATTTATTTTTTCATACCGTAATTCTTTTTCTATGCCTGCCATTCGTCCAAACACGTGAAGTGCAATAAAGTTTTAAAATTAAGTTTCTAATTTCTGGTCTCGTTGCTTACCCTGGTTTCAGGCCATTCCGTCAACGATTTTTGTCCGAGCACCTGTTTTGCCCAGTAGATTAATGTCACTCGTAAAATAAGCAACAGTAACTTGGTCCAAGCCTTGACGGGAATTTTGACACAGAACAACCTTAATATTCACAAAACACACATTATATTTTCATTTAACATTTTTTTTCTATCAATTTGAATGAGAATAATCCATGCAGAACGTGCAAATATATCAAAATTATGAGTTAAAAAACGCTGGCTACGTGAGTTTCAATATTAGAGCCATACACAGAGCGAAGCGGCGCGGCGCGCGGTGGGCTGCCAGCGAGACACGCGCACTGGCGCCTACAAACCTAACAGGGATACTTCACGCATTGCGCAATGCCTGAAGTATCCCTGTTAGGTTTGAAGGCGCCAATGTGCGTGTCGCGCTGGTCACCCTAGCCCGCCGCGCCGCGCCGCAGCGCTTCAAGCAACTAGATTGCAACAGAGGTGTTGCACAGTATCATACGGAATTGGAAGCTCTCCAACGTATCAAAAATGACAGGTATCCTTTGAGAGTACGGAGTTTTCCGCGCAAAATAAATCAAGATACTACGGCACAAATAGAGAGCGGTAGTCCAAAAACTCACTAAGTCCTAGCATCCATATTTAATAAGTTTAGCATAATTTTGGAAGTTCATTAGAGCAAAAATTTACACGATATAGGCAGAAACATTTTTGAGTATGTCGGAAGCAATTTTATTTTGAATCAAGAGGAAAATAGTGGAATGAAAGCGGGTTTTTGCTTGAAGTAAGTATGGCTTTTCTTTTTATGTAAGCATACTTCCTTTAAACAAGCATTATCTTCTTCATTGATTCATAAGGGAATCTTCTCGGCGGTAAAGTGGAGCATATTTCTGATTGATCAAGTCACTTTTTCCTCTGATGAAGTTCAAAAATCATGCTAAACGTCATTGAATACAGATACTAGGACTTAGTAAGTTCTTCTACTATGTGAATTCCAAGTCTCATACAAATCCAACGATAAGCAGCCTAAATATCCACTTCCCGCTCTAGGCCTCCATTTTAACCGCCACCATTTTGAAAAGGACTGACATATCTGAAAAACTAATGCCAAAATCGTTTTTCTCGTCCCGAAAAACCCTAGGATTCTGAGTTTCAGACCAATCCGCTGGAGATGCCAAATTTCCGCCATTTTGAACTTTGACCGGCCGCCGTTTTGTCAAAAATCAACATTTTGACCTGCGGTTTGCGCCAAAAATTTTCTTTTTTTATTATCTTTCGAATGAAGTATCACAAAAGGGGGGTTGCCATTTGAGAAAAAAAAGTTAGCCCCCGCCCCCCTTAGAGGGGGCCGCTCCACAAAATTTTGGGAGGACCAAAAAGTTGCTACCTTAAGCCGAGGAACATTCCCAAAGTTTCAAACTTCTACTTATCTCAATTAGGAAAAAAGTTACAGGGGTGGTAGGTGACTTTTGGATAACCCTGTATAACTTTGTCAAAATTAAGAAGAATGAATGTGAAGAAAGACAGGCACGTTTTGAGCGCCATCAGCCCACGTTTGGGGTATATGATGTGCGAACGATTAAAAGATTGGCTTCACTATTCAGTTTTAATTCGTTGCATCTGACATTTTATCGCACTGTCAAACTATACACATACTTTTGGAGGTTTTAAGTCCAAAGTCAGAGCTAGCTTCAAAGGAAAGAGGGATCGTGTGCTCAGCATTCGCGACTTTGAATACCACATTAATTACTGCACTTTTTAGCAGGTAATTTGGAATGTGTAAACAAGTAGAGAAAATCAGTGTCATTTTAAAGGGATTTGTTTGGACGAGGATCCAAGTTCTCAACTTTTACGAAACGTTTACATTGCACTTACTTACGTTTGAGTTCCAGTAAGCGCACGACCAGAGACACATCGATCGAGGAAATTAAAGTGCCTTCAATTCTGCGCATGCAACTTTACATACTCCTCATCGTTTCAAGCGGTGATCAGTCATAAGGGGCTCGAGAGTCCATCGTTATGATCGAAATCGCTCGATGGTACAGCGACATAGTGACAGGCATGCCTCGCAAAGAGAAGGAATACAACAAGCGAAGCATCGTGCGAATAGTGGAAGCGACATTGCAAACTTGTGTTGTTGGGTGCATTCGTGACGTCATACAATACTCGCTAATCTACCCATCTAATCTAATCTATCTATCTAATATATTTCTCGATCAAAATTGTCGCATTATAAGTTTATGATGTGACGTTTGACGTAACCTTCAGTGGCGTGGCGTGCTTTGCGATAAATCGATTGATCTGTAATTTAAACCTATAGAAAAGGATCGATGCACATGATGTTTGCGCCAAACACCTTAATAATCGATTCTTTACCATAGTTTTAAATGGAGAGATATCGACTGTCAATCATTCACGCCACGCTACCGGTAACCTCCTTGTTTTTGGTTGCTTAGGAGAGAATGTCAGAGCTTGATCGGGCTATGTCTTTTCCATTGAAATATTTAACATTATTGTAATCGCATGGATTCAAGTATCCATTGAAATTTGTGCGGTGTTTCAAAGATTGGTAAAAAATCAAAATTGCCTCAGTATGAGATTCATGCAGTTTATATTGATTGTTTACCTGGTTCAGTTTTCTGGAAATCCTCTAGTCAGAGCAAATGCAGTCAAGGTAAACAAACAGGTTCAAATTTATTTGTATATATCTATGTATACCTCATTTACTAACATACTGAAAAGTCAGATAACTGACAGAATTAGGATTATGGTGGGTAGAATTTAGTAGAAAAGAACGACCCGATACAAGCTGCATCGAAATGCCTTCTAAACAAAATATTTTACAAATCGTGGTGTATAAAGTGATGAAAAATGGGAAAATAATTTTCCCATGTGATGATATTTAAGTATGTAATTTAAGTAATGTCTTTCATTTGATACATTTTTTTTCATCAATGAATGTGAAACGATTTCACAATTATGATTATCATCTTGAAAATGCTGTTTTATCATCTACAAAGAGAGAATAATGTGCGGTTTCTAGACTTTATTTTATCAAACCCTTCCCATTGTACCACTACGTGTGAAACTTGTACTTGAAATTGCGTAATTTATAAAAGTTCCTCCATACGCTACTTCTATACTTACTACCCTTTGATGCAACGCTTCTGGATGAAATGCAATTTTTACATGATATATTGGTACTCGTCGCAGATAATTTTTTAATGTTTTAATTTTCTTTCCAGTCCAGATGGTTCCTGACAACAGAGCTCATCGAGCTGAAGGCCAACAACTATTTCGTAGACAAAACTGAATTCATTCACGACTTTTTGGTCAACCAGCCAAAATATTCATACCTCACAGCACCTCCTCGCATGGGAAAAACTTCTTTGCTGACATTGATAGGTTTATTCTGTAATGCAACTTGGCTCGAGATAGATGGTTCGGTGAATATCATCGAGGACGATCGAAAATCAATTGAATTTTTTGAGAACACAACAATATCAAAGAACGAGACATTTTTCAAGACGCACCGGAACAAATATAGCGTCATTTTTGTTGATTTTGCACCTTTACGTAAAACCACCACTTTGGACTCGTTTAGAGTGAACATGTGCTCAGTTATTGAAAACATGGTTAACTACTATGGGTTTTTAGGAATCTGCACAGGGGCAAAGGAGACAATGAAAGAATTTTTTAAGAAGTACACACCCGGAAGTCCATACTGTTCAAAAAATTTCAAGCAAGCATTACAAGATGGCAGTGTCTTCGTGAGGATGTTAAAGGAAGCACTTGGGAAGGAGGTGATCATTTTGGGCGACGCATTTGATTCAATTTTACATGCATATTTATTGAACGACATTACAGGCTCAGAGGCGATGGCATATTTTGTGGAATTCGTCGATGGATTACTCGCAAATGAAGAAAATGTCAGTGTGGATAGAATTTTGTTTGTTGGGACGCTAAATTTGGGAGGAATTCTCTCAAATTTTATAAAAGGCATTACACATCGAGAATTTTACCATGACGAAACAATTGGAAAATATTTTGGGCTGACAGAACAAGAAGTCAAAAATCTCCTGCGTGATTTTTCTCTAGAGGATCATTTTAGGATCATAGACTATTGGTACAATGGATTTAGCGTTTTAGACTCTCATCTGAAGGTGTTCAATATATCATCTGTTGTGTCGTACGTCCAAAGATTGAAATCGCAGCCCATCATTCCATCGGAATCTTTTAGTGCGTTGATTGGTTTGAAACCACTCTTTACCGATCACCGAATCGGCTCAACTGTCACTGAGACATTGTTTGGTGATGGCACGAGAATCAGGGCACCGAATGATTTAAATATGACCTTGTTGATGGGACTGAAAGAAAAGATGAAGATGGTGCACCTGGAGGAAGAAACGAGGCCTGAAAATGTAACCTTAGCAAATTTCAAATTAATAACGCAGGAAATCGACATATTCCTAAGACTGCTCCTGGACTTGGGACTAATATCTGTAGCACAAGACATGGGATCCTCACGTATGGTAAAACCTCCAAATCGGGCAAATTCCTACGTACTCAGGGATTATTGGTACGATAGTGGGTACAGTTTTAAATATTTTAATGTCTCCGAAAAACATCAGAGGCTTTTCACGGATGCTATGACCAGCTTTACTACCTCCAATTCTTCACTTCAAAGCTTGGGCGAGGTCTTGTATAACATCACCTCAGTTAAAGTTCCGGTAAAGGATTCTACTTTTAAGGCGTTAATCTACACGTATGCTAGGAGATCCGCTGAACAGCTCGCCAGTCAAGGAAAGGAAGAGGTCGTGGTAGAAAGTGGCAGAACTTTTTGCACCTCAGGGTCTAAAGCCGTCGAAAGGAAAACGGACATAGTTTTAATTTGGAAGTCTAAGAAATTAGGAGCTATTTTAGGACTTAAAAAGTCACCCAAACGTAACGGCAGTCTCACTGCAATGGAAGCGTTTGAGCAAATGAAAAAATTGAATTATGTCGATATTTTTAAGACCGATCCCGAATACTCAAAACTGCATATTCAAGATATGGTACTCCTGGGACTATCAGTTTCTGCTGATGGGTCATTAAATATTGTGGGAGAAGCTTCTGGTTCAAGTGGCACAGCAAAGATGAGCTTTCTTCGGCAAAAGGGAAAGCAGAGGAAAGCCATGCTTAATCGGAAATTCTCGTCTGATCGAAAACCCAAGGATTCTGTGTATGATTATAATTATAATTAACTCCGGTTATGGAATTATGACATTTTCACATTTTTCCCCCCGTAACCAACCCCATCAATTGAAGAGTAGAAACTAAAAACTCGGTGAGTGCCATTTGGTGTTGCTGCGATTAAGTTTAGGGTGTTTTATCGTATAAGAAGCCAAATGCAATAGCTTCATCGATTTATTGTATCTTTTATCAATATTTGTCTTATTTTAAGATAAAAATTGTACTTATTAAGCCACTGAATGCACGTTAAATGAAGAAGATATAGTTACACAGTCTTAGCGTAACTCCAGCTGACATTTACCAGGTTTTAATTTCGACCCTACAATTACAAAAGGACGTAAGGGTATCGACAATAGGGCCGTTTTTGGACCTGCCCTGAATTTCCTTAACCCTCCGCTTCTTTCTTACCAATTGAAGATCTATTTTCTACGAAATGCATCACGATTTGATCATTTTCGGTTTCTAATCAAGTCTATAGCTGATGGAAAATGCAGGTTTTGCGGGTTAGCGGGCGACAGCCGAAAAGTCTGCATTTGTCGCCAAAATCGGCCCTTAGATCCATAGATAGGCCAGTACTAGACCTGATTAGAAACCGGAAATGATCAAATTCTGGTGGAGTCCGTAAAAAGTAGACCTTCAGTGAAACAGAAAATCGTAGAGTTGAGGAAATTCAGCCAGGGGTGGGCCTAAAAACAGCCCTGATTTTACCTGCAACCCCTCCTTGGAATTACTCATTCAAACTATGCGCAGCAATCGGTTTCATCAGGAAGTAAAGCTTAAAATGAAAGAATTCAAAACTTACCTGGATATAAGTACGAGCTTTCAAAATGTTGAAAATTATTACATATCAGGACCAACCAGAATTAACAGGTGTACCAAAGCAAACCAGTAATCATAGTTTCATTGTAACTCCAATCACTATGACTCACCTCTAATTGGACGGAGTTAAACAGAAAGGAGCCAAGCCACACCGGGATCGAACCGAGAAAAAGAGGTTTAAAGTTTGGCTCCTCCATAAGACTCAGTGTAAAAGATAAACTTCAAGTTCAATTTCTGCAACATTTTCTCCAACAAAAACGTTGAATTTTTGGCGATAGATAGTAGAGCAGTGGTTGAGTCCAAAACCATTCGTAACTCAATTTTTTCCAAAATGTGGGTTGGTTCCTTTCTGCTTAACTCAGTCCAATTTTTACCCGCAAAAGGGCTTGCATGCAGCATCTGGGAGAATTCGTTATTTACTTTATACCCTCCCCCCTCTTTGCTGTACTTTGCTTTAGCTATATAGCTGACATAGCAATGCCTAATTAAAAGATTATCCATATTCTTCGCTATCATTGACACAATTTCACGCGCGATGTGGCAAATGACCGCGCAGAAACGGCCCGCGTTACAACACGAGCTGCGGTCGCGGGACAAAGAATAATAGGACCGCACACCCTTGGGTGATGATCCGATCGATATTTGCCGGCTAAATGATTGGTTGACAGCCTCCGAGAGACACCGACAGAGATCGCTGCGCGACCGAAAGGAAAGAATGGGAAACTGTGAAAGAAGCCGGGGCCGGAGGAAGCTATGACGTAAAAAATCGGACGGTGATAGGTGAGGGAGGAGGAGAGTTATCGAAACGGCGCGCAGTGGATCCAGTCAATTAGAGAGGTCGGACATGAAATTTTAGGCTAAAACTGCAAATTTTGATGTTTAATTCGTCAAATTTTAAAGTTTAAGGGGTGCTTTTTTTTTTTTTTTTTTTTTTTTTTTTTTTTTGTAGTTCTTCCGGGAGAAAAAGTGGCGGATCTTATCGAAGATATGACAATTTAAGCATCTTGTTCCGCCGGCTGTGTAAACAAAGTCGGGGGTCTCGATTTCCATCCGTTTCGCACTACCACCCCTACATGGGGTGGGTTTCGGCCAGATGGTCATCTAGATGGTTAAACTATCATATGTTGATTTAGGCTCTAATTTAGAAAGTTGCTCTGATCAGGAGCTGGATAGGGAGATCGGGGACCGAGGTCGAGCCGACCAACTAAACCAAACTCACGGCTGCGTGTCTGCCCGGATAATGCCGGAATCATCCCTATTGGGGGGAAGGGGTGCCTTTAAGAGAAAATTTCACTACGAAACCAATGGAACCACTTTTAGAACCTCAAATTTTTGTACAAAGCGAGTTATAAGTGTTTAAAATTTTCAAATTTCGTCCGACCTCTCCTATTGACTCGATCCACTGTGCGGCGTTTAGATGTGGTGTATCGCTAGAGTGCCCGGTCGGTTCCGATTTCGGGCGAGCCGATGATTCTAATCCGGGGTTTATTCACCGGGGTTTCAAAGTCTGACAGAACTTTTACCGGAGGTCGGGCCCAGTTACGAAAGTGCTTTCCGGTCATCTGAGTTTAGGTGCATTGTACCGCGATGACTAGCTATGGGGCTCAACAATGATGGTTGCGAAGGATTGATATGACTGGGGAGCATGGATGTCTGAGGGCTTGTTTCTGGTCAGAGGTAATTTGGACCCGATAAAAAGGTGCACCACAGATGTTAAAAAAATTTGCGACAACTCTTGGGTGTTGTCATTGACACTCTGCTGTTACAGTAATATCCTAGGATGTTAAGCTCTCCCGAGATTATAGTTTTCTTTCCTGAGAGAATAGTCTTCTCTCCCAAGGGAATAGTTTTACCTCCCGAGAGAATAGTTTTCTCTCCCTAGAGAATACTTTTCTCTCCCGAGCGAATACTTTTCTCCCCCAAGAAAATACTTTTCTCTTGGAATGGTACTTCAGCACCGGAGTGTTAATGACAACACCCAAGAATTGTCATAATTTGATTGGAGGAAAGAAGAACGAGGGACGCTTATATTTGGTAATCATTTATGATGGGATTGACTCTAACTGCACATAATTCGAAAAAAAGTGAAGTTGATTAAACATTCTGCATGTAAAAAAAAATCTGTGAGAACTTATAAAATGCTGAATTACTCGGTACAACAGTTACTTCAGCAACGTCAATATGTAAATTGGTGTAATTCAGCATTTTACAAGTTCTCGCACACTTTTTTACATCCAGAATGTTGAATCAACTTCACTATTTTCTCGGTGTACTTTAAATTTTCGAAAATGACCTGAGAAAAGCCGCCCTCCCGCCCCGAACCTGCATTTGACCTGGATATTCCACACCTACCAGACCGCAGACCCCTCTAACCCCCGGGGGATAGGGCTTAGTGAAAATCCACCCCCCCCCACGTTCGAAGCGATGGATCTGCGTCTGAAGGTACCGCCATTAGTATTCATGTTTTCCAATATGAGTATCTAAGAATTTTGCCTTAATCAAACGAAGCGATCAATGTATTGCTTCTCCTGCAGTAAATACGAGTATTTAGGATTTAAAACATCAAACTACCTATGGTTTCATGATGTGCGTATAACTAGCCTTTTGGTTGGTAAACAAGTGACTTCCACTTCCGTAGATGCTATATATTTCCTTTAAAACTGCTTGAATCAGTGAGAAATTTGAAGACGTAAATGAAAGAGGAAATCGATAGCAAAAAGGCAAAAAAAGTAGAGGCAAAGCAAATCAAAGAGAATAGGAGAGGGACAGATAGAGGGAGAAAGTAAGGAAATATCAATGGCAAATTGATGTGATGCGAATACTTCACGAAGCATGTTATTAGATTGATCTTGTTAGCTTGCGACTTGAGGGGATCAGTCTATGCTTGAAATCCTTTCCTCACCTGATCTTTTAAAGCTGCCATAGGCTTCCTTGTTCATAGATCTCTCATTATAAACTCATAAATCAATACATTATTACTCCTCTCTGGAATTCATCGTATTGACTTCAAGCGTGTCTTAATGCAATTAATATTTTAGCTGCATGCTTACTTCCCTTTTTTCACTTTTTGACAAAGCTAATCACTAATTGTGGGGCTTGGAGGACAAGGCCCATAAGAGCAGTTTTTGATATTTTGAGAAATACGTGTTTGAAGCTTCGAAATTACATGGATCCTCATAGCGGAAAGAAAGTTCAAATTGACTTTTTGATACTTGAAAATTGGAATTTGGAAGCGAATTTTTCACAGAATTTGGATTAAGACTAGTTTTACTTGAAATCATTAATATCTCAATTTTTTCAAAAATTGCACTTATGCGCCTTGTCCTTCTCCAAGTCCCTCAATTGTGCTTCGAAAATCAATTATCTTTTTATTTGCCGATGGGTTTTTTCCCCCGACTATAATTTAATTTACCACTCAATTACGAGTTACTAGGTAGTTTGGCTTTCAGAATCAGTAATTGATGAACAAGTGTAAAATTAATGTGCAGATCAAAGAAATGCAATATTTATAACATCAAATATGGAATTTATGTCAATTTCGTCATGAATAATTACACAAATGTAAGCGTTATTCCTTCTTCTCTCCTCCGTTCCTTCCTTCTTTCTTTCTTTCTTCTCTTTATATTCCTCCTTTTTTCGTGCGAGCGGGGGGGGGGACGGCGTACGCCTTTCCTTGCTCCGCCTATGAAATACGGTTATTTTTGAACGAAAGAAAAAAAACGGGAAATGAATTTAAATATTACGAAAATTGAAGGACTTATGAATAAAATTTTCCGCTCCAGCACATCTCGGTCTATCCCGTCGCCTTAAAGCTTAATTTCTGGAATGACTGCTCTTTTCGGTAACGCGGGAGTGTGGGTCACGTCGGTCACGTGTGTGATTGAAAGGATTCGAGCTGAACTGGCATCTTGGCGCACGACCAGAGCACATAGCGTCGTCGCTCCTCCGACGCAAGGACGCATCTAACTTGCTCTGTGAGCTCTGTTTCCCGTATAAGTCTACGCTTTCGGGGGCTCATGTAGAAATTGAGATACGTTTTTACGTCGAAAGAGCGAAGATAGCAGTCGCGAACACGTAACGCGTAATTAATGTCATCGATGGTCGGCGGTCTCATCGACACGAACTGACCGCTACTTATTCGGTAACGTCTCTCCAGACGGGGGGGGGGGGGGGGAAGACCCCTCAAATTATGCACGTACTTAAAATTTTTAAGCCATTTCTCTAGCATGGGTCATCGGATCCGCTGGACCATCGATGACGGCTCAAAGAATGTCGATGATTGGAAGGTAGCTGAGATTATCAGATAGGATGTGGATACCTCGATTGTTGTTTAAAAGTGACATTGGTCATATGTGATCATAAATTCATCACCTTCCGGCCAAACTATCACAAGCGCTTGCGACGTTTAAAAGTTTCCGCCGCCATTTTATTTTTTACAGAGGAATTGCTGGTTGAATCTGTTTGAAAATTTCACTAAATTTTTTTTGTGCTGCCGATAAAATTCAGTGAAATTTTCAAACAGATTCAACTAACGATTTCTCTGTAAAAAAATAAAATGGCGGCAGAAATTGTTAAACGTCGCATGGCGCTTGCGATACTTTGGCCGGAAGGTGACGAATTGGGATCATTTAACCAGGTATGTAATACAAGTTCAAACAAGTGAACATGGCAGTTCAAATACTAACTTTTGGATTAGATTGGATTAAGTTTGTTAGGTTAGGACGGGTTAGAATTTAGGAAGGCATTCTTGATTTTGGTAATTCTTTCGACTGATCCAAAAAATAGAGGTTTGTATGTTTAGTTTTTAAAATAAGAAATTCAAGTATCTAAATATTTTTATTTTAAAAACGAATTTAAAAAAAAAACAAAAATTTAGCGGAAAAATAGTTTAAATTTATTTGTAATATATTTTGAAAATATTGTAATGAAACTTTTTAGAAATGTTTTTCGAACAATGAGAAATTGACCGTAATTATCTTAAATATGTTTTTAAAATGATTCACAAATGACTTAATCAAACTGAAAACGAATACACAAATTTTACCATGATTTATACCGTAAACATTTCAAAGTCATGTTCAAACATTTCGCCTCGTTTTAAGAAAACATCTGTGAAATATGATACTGGTTTTGGAGATATTTAATTGACATATTTTAAGCGTCACTATGCGGTTCTAGTGTATTGCCGTCGGTGATACTTCGGTGATGACTTTGCATGTAGTTAAAAGGAAAAATGGAAGCTGAACCGGCAGTACGGTCATACGCCGAGCGTGGTGCGGGTGACGTCATCAATTACCCAGTAAACTTCTGCCTAGGCTAATAAAATGCAGTAGTAAAACGGCGCGAATGCTCAAAATTTAGGTAATCTTCAGCGTGTCATCCGTTGGTCTTCCTACCTCTCTGTCTCTGATACGTCTCATCAGAGCTATCTTCACACTCCGGCATCGCTCTACGAGCTCCCATTGGTGTTATCAACGGTGAAATAATTTCATCTGTATTTTGCATCCTTGTCAAATAAACCCATAATTCAGAGTTTCAACTCTCAGATTTTTGTTGTGTTCGAATGTTAGTTTGAGTTTAATTATACGAAGGACGATTTTGCTTTAACGAAAACAAGGACGGGAGGAATAAAACTTATCACGTGATAGAAGATGCCTCCTGCCATAAAAAAATTAGTGGAAGTAGCCCGATCAAGCATTTTGGGGAAAAAATGTCCCTGTCTTCTGAGACGCTAAATAATCGCATCAGATTTACATGATTAACGGTATTTGTCTCTCATGTTCACATAGAGCGTAAACATTACCAAGTCAGGTTGATGACTAGACAAGAAGTCGCGATTTTAAAGTGAGGTCTCCGTGCGTTCAGTGACTCGAGATTTTCTGTTCGCCTACATTTCTAATTTTGAGTTAAAATCTCTGAAATGATTCCTGTCTTTTGTTATCTTGGCGATCTCCTACGTGGTTCAGCATGATTAAATTTTTAAATAATAATAACTCTATGCGTCAAGAAACTCGAGTTATTAGATACGTCCACTTTTCTAGCTCTGCGTTAAAGTCTCTAAAGTGATTCCTGCATTTTATTGTCTCGGCGATACCTTGTGTGGCTAGTCATGATCAAATTTTCAAATAATACTGTTTCCATGCATAAAAAAACTCGCGTTTGTCGGCACTTTTGTCGGTACTTACTTTTTTGCGTTGCTTCAAAGTCTCTGATAAATACATTATAAGGAGTATGGAGGACATCAGCCGTTCTTTGTTAGTATGTAAAAGCGATTGAGTTAATCAACATATTTTGAGAGCTTGAAATTTTCGTCGAATTGAATCCATAAATATTCAAATAAATTTCGAAACATCAAAAACTGCTCCAAATAAAATATGCTCAATTTGGAGCCTCAGAAAATTAAAGAAAAGTAATAAGCTATTCAGATGAATGTACATAATTTTTACCCTAAAATAACACCCCCGTCCAAGCGGCAAACTGATGAAACGAGAAAAACGATTTCCTCGAGAAAGAAAAAAGTTCTCTCCGTTACAACTCTGTGCTTCACATTCTCTACGACTTGTCGCCTTGAGAGACAAAAAGCGTGATACGACTACACCAGCTGCAGAGTAGCTAAAATTGCACAGCCAGGGATATGAAGGAGGGCTCATTTTCTTGCAAATATTTTTTCCTGGAAAATACTATACTCAGTGCACGTTTTCCCTTATATATATTTTGCTGTGCGAATAAATGCACGATGCAATTATTTGAATTTCCAAGTAGTCCAAATTACATAGTTACCAAAATGAAGGCGGATTCATTACATTCCGTATTGTAATAGTTACTTGTTTCTTAGGTTCGGGAGTGACATCGATGTTGAAAATCCATACACTTATTCTGCCGTGCTGAGGAAGAACGCCGTATGAACATTCGAGAGTTGCCAAATTTCCTGTGAAGAAATGTTTATTTTTGAAGAAAGTTATGGATATTTTTCTTTGAAATTTTCAGAAAATTTAGGCCGTATTCTGAAACAAAATATCTGAGAAATTGGAAAAAAATTATTCACAAACTTTCCTGTAAATGAGTGATTTGTCACAGAAAGTTTGGCAATGCCTGAAGACTCATAAGGTGTTCTTCTTAGCACAAAAATAGTAAGTGTTTGTGGGGATTGACAAATATTTGAGTGCATAAATTTTCGAATCAGTTTTGCAAAAAAGTGACCATGTTCGTTCCGGTGGAGGCGCTGCAGCAGGTTGAAAAAATGGGCTCATGTTATTTAATCGATCCGATAGTGGCAAAATTCGAACCAGTTTTTTTATGGCACAGCAACAGCGTCAATGCTTTTTTACAGGCAAAAGTAACGACAAAGATCATCGAGCAAGTATCATATTAGTTTACACTCAATTTCAGCGCCTTGCAAATAATCATCTAGACACAATCGTGGATTGGTTTTGTCGGAGCCGCCGTGTTCAAGTTAATTTTGAACTATGCATTCTGGGGGAATGTTAGTATATTTCAATTTGACACGAGATTTCATATGCACGAGATACATATATGTACCTCTACTTCTCTAAAACTGGCCATTGTTTCGAAAAAATTTGAAAATGTCTATATTGTATACTACTAGAATCAACCATGAGTTTGAAAATGAATGTATATACTGAACTATAGATTCTCACACTAAAAAGGCTCAGAACGCGAAAAAAAGTTATTGATTTCGAAGGGAAACTAAGTGATAGAAAATGAAAAAAAAAAACATGGGACCACATTGAAAGAAAATATATAAAAGGGGATTTTTTGTGCATTTTTTGCAATATGATGGATTATTGAAAAAAGTAAACAAAAAATACTAAAAACTAAAGCAAGTTGGGATTCATTAGAATTGCTTTTCTTGCCGAGAGCTGATCCAGCAGCGGATTCAGCAATTCGGCAACACAGGATCTCCTCCATTTAAATCTATGTTAAATAATCGATTTTTGTCAGATCACCTGGTCCCTACAAGAATCGATACATTTCCGTAGGTTTTAATGGGGAACAAACACTTTTGCTAACTCGCTGGATCCGTTACCTAATGAACAGATCCTATAAAAATTAGTTTCAGATATTGGCTTTCAATAAATGGACAGCTGATTTAAGTGGAAAACTGTTCATTTGAGAGAAAATTCGGACATAATTATATGGATCGCGTTTAGCAGAATGGAACCAAGCCACATCAGCTATTGCCAAATTTAATTGGGCAATTTAATTTCTTACAAGAGAACGTTTGTGCGGATTCCTTGGAAAATTTTAAGGAATTCGCTCCGCACTATGCAGAAAATTTACGGAAATTTCCACAAAAATCCGCGGAACCGTTTTCATGTAAAAAATTAAATTACCCGATTAAATTTAGCAATACCTGCTGTGGCTTGGTTCTTTTCTGCTTAACGCGGTCCACATGAATCTATATTTGATGTAATTCCGCTCAGAGGCGTAGCCAGTAATTTTTCATACTATGAAAAATTGCTGACAACAAACTGTTGCTGGAAGGGAGGCAAGTGCCTCAAGTGCAAAATTCCTGAAAATTACGGAAAATGACTCTTTTTCCCAGAAAAGTATCCTGTCATGCGGGGAGGTGGTCCAGACCCCTAAACCTCCCTACGGCTATGCCACTGATCTTTTAAGCCCGCGTTGTCTCTTAGACGTTTGAACAAAACCTGGCGGCACCGTCGCGTCGAGTTGAGCTTTTTTGCCACATGGATGTGAAACAAAATGATTTTTCCGCTTGTACGAGTGTAAAATACGCATATTTTTGCACAAATTTGGCGGCAAGGCGTTCCTTGGCGGTGGCGGGAGAGTGTAACCCCTTTCTCCCGCGCCGCGAAGGAGCCGGGCCGCGCGGGTCCCTCAAGTACTTGTATAAAACCGCTCCGCGGACACCAGCGTGAGTCATTTGTATATCGTCGTATCCACCATGTTGCCGTTACTTTTCGTTTTAGGTACGACCATTGAGTTTTCCGCTATTCTCACGTTAATTTTACGTTTTTAATTTTTCCACCTGTAAAATTAGAAACCTGGAAGATGTGTTTGAAATGAGCCCGAATTGGAAAATTCCAATCGTGGGCTTGATGTTATCGAATTTTTTCCTACTTTTTTGACGCAAAGTGCAGTGTTACATTTCTTTAGCTTGTTAAGTCTGTGATATCGGAAGAGGTTCTCGGATTTTAATCTGGAATTCCGTGAAGTGAACTTGTGTCGATCTTCATCAGTTTGGATTGGCCAGAATCGATAAGTCCACTACTATTTTTTTCCTTTTCACAACACAATATCTTTTTGGATTTTAGTTTGTAAGTTGCTCCCGCCATTTCTAGGTGAAATATTTGGCGATATTTCATTTATGGTGAAAAGGTAGATAAAAGCTGAAAAGCATTCTCACATTTGGAATGGAATGTAATGAATCTCGTATTTAAGTGGGAGCTACCGCATGAATGGATCACAAGAACATGATTGGTTTCTAAATTGAAAAATTATCTAAGGAGATGAGACAAAACACTCCAAACTGCCAAAATTCGTGTGTTTAACAGGGAAAAGCTGACTTGTACAAGGCGGTATATTTTCTCTTTTTACAATCTATTTTTCTCGAACTTCCCAAATCGGAAAAATGTGTAAATAACACTGTGAACTCAGCTCATGAAGCACTTTTATAAGTGGCAATACCAGTTTCTTTTAAAAATTGTCCATTGTTGATTTTTTATGAAGAGAAAATTTTATGGGAGAAAACAAAGAAGAATTCAGATCTTTCCGCCTCAGAACTTGCCTATACTTCTATGCAACCCTGCAAACAAGGATCTTACAACAAGACTTCACAAAAGTCTATTTGTAAGATCTTTCAGCACAGTCAGTGCACTGCAGAGATGAGTAAAACGCAAACTTTCAGCAACCAACTGGAGTGAATATTCATAATCCACAAATGAAAGGTAAAAATTACACGACAGAAAAATAACGACATTGATAATCCGTGTAGAACCTCCACCTTCATGACAAACTGAAGTAATAAATAAACTTCATAACTTTATTGGCTTCACACGGAACCATCGGAACTTTTATGTAACGTTGAGAAAGTAATGGACGCACTGTCAAACTAGGAGCAACACGCGCTGAAATTATTCTTTTTTTCAGCCATTTGTGCTTTTCTTTCTTGAGAGTAGATTATATTACACTTTAGTTTGAAATTATCAGAGAGTATTTGGGTCGCATTCAGTAGGAGGAAACCAACACGAATATTGTGTTGCAAATATTACGCGCCTTCATTTTTATCTGAGGAAAATTCCTGAAACAGCGAAAAGGTTTTGCTTTTCTGAGAGAAAATTGTGAATTCTGAAGAAATCGATCAAGTCACTTTTATTAATATACGCTTCCCTGGTATTTTATCAGGCAAAGATGTGAAAATCACTTACTTTTATTTCTCCTTATTCTCGACTCTTTAACCATGACAGAATCGTTTAAATGAAATTATGTCGACTCGAAGTGGTTCTCTTATTGAATTGCATCGCCTTTCTTTATGATTTTTCCACCTAAAAATTAGTTCCCAACAACAGAGGCGTCTACATTTACGCAATTAAACTGAAATGCGCGCGCGGTAATGAAAGTTCACCGCAAAGACCACGAACATCACTAATTTGGTTGTCCGATTGACTTAGGGAGCAGGATTTCTAAATTATGAGAATAACCCGGAAAATACCCCGTCTGCATTGATCAATTTTGCTCGAAATTTCTGGGTCAAAATCCTCGATGTGACTGCTCCGCAATTGACATGCTGCGGTCATTCTTACATAAACCTTAATAAATTAATCCATGGCATCAGTTCGTTTAGTTGGACTTACGTAAATGACCATTTAAGTATCACCACGATAGCACGATTTTTCCTCGTCCGAATGAAATTTCACGCACCAATCAACAAACCTCTTCGGAGTGTTACGGTTATAAGAAAAATAACAATAACCAAACTTACTGCTGACTTAATACAGGGGAAAAGTAAAAGCGACATTTTTTTAAAGATAAGTTTTCATGACTTTTTTCATGGCGAAAATAAATTACTCCAATCGGAAACCTTTGATCGGAAAATTGCGGAGAGATATATTTTCAAAATTAGAAATTTAAATTATTCGCATAACAGGCAATAGGTGTACTATTTTTAAATTCAGTGTCACGCAAAATTCCATTAATGAAACCTGTTTTAACAGTGTTTAAAGTAAATGGCTTTTTTTGGCATAAAAATGTCTCTTTTAGAATCTCGTATATTAAGGTACTTCCAAAAAAAAAAAAAAAAAAAAAAAAAAAAATCTCTTTTCAGGCCTGAATCGCAATGTAAATACCCCTAGGCCGGCCGGGCCTTCCCGAACCGGATCAGTGCTCAGGGGGCCGCGGTGCTGGTTATCAGGGGTCCCAAATTCTGAAGTTTAAGCAAATATAGTATGACATCCAGAATGCCAGGCTTAGGGTCTCTCTAAATTTGTCTATTAGACTCAAAAGATCCCTGGAGAATCTGGAATTTTAAAAAAAAAATGCCCCGGGAGTCAGGGTGGCAGGAGGTCCGAGGTGCCTTTGCACCTAATCCGCTAATCCGGCCCAGCGGGCTGATTTTTGAAATCGAAAGACACAGCGATAGACAAAGAAGATATACGAAGTATGAAGCGACCCTATTGGTTGAAATAGATGGTTCCTATAGACTAAGGGAGAAAATGATGGACTATAACCATAGGATCTCTCGTGGGTTGCCGTTAATTAGTCAACTACCTACCTCCTTTGTCCATTACAACCGCCCGCTTCCACTAATAGGATTCCCTCATAGCCCATTAGTCTTCTTTGTCTAAAGCTTTGTACGTCGATTTCAATAATCAGCCTGCTGGGAGCTGGGGCCCTCTTAAGGAAAGGAGCTGAATAAAGAAGCGACTATGTATACGGCTGATAGAGCCTCCGAAGGAAAGGGGCTGTTCAGGGAACGATTATCCTGCCGTGCTATGGAAGAACGCCGTATGAACATTCGAGAGTTGCCAAATTTCCTCAAATAAAACATGTAAATGTGAGAAAAGGCTTGCATAGTTTTCCTTGAACTTTGCAGTTATTTTAGATTAAATCACGAACAAATTGTCTGCAAAATTTGACAAAAAATTTCACAATTTGTCCGGTAAATTTGACTTATATTGAAGAAAATATAGCAACATATGAAAGCTCTTGCGGCGTTTTTCCATAGCACGGCAGTATTAACAACACTGGAAAAAAAACACATTGGATCTAGAGTCCAGACTCTTGAAAACATTGACAAGAAAAAATACTCTTGATTCAATCAGATTTAAGCTTAAATCAACAGGAAATCCGCTCGAATTAAGAGGCTTGGTTCTTGATTTAAGCTTAAATCTGATTGAATCAAGAGTATTTTTTCTTGTCGATGTTTTTAGAGTCTGGACTTTAGATCCAATGTGATTTTTTTCCCAGTGTAGTCTTATTTCTTTAGGCACTAAATAGGTGGGCTAGACATAGGCCGAGCAATGTCTATTAAGACGCGAATCGCCCTCAGTGGGGTCTATGTTGCCGGGCTGGCGTGGTCTTTGAAGCGTCGCGACGCTCGTCGCCGACGCCGCGACGCGTCACTAGGAAGCCGCGGCAGGCAGCTAAACGCGTTCCGAGCTAATTACCCCTTGCCGGGCGGCTCCGATTTACTTCCGAGTCCGACATCCGACCCTAGTTCTAGACTGCCACATGCTGCCATTGTCAATTCCCAAGCTGTGCATCCTCCCATACTGTCGTGCTAAGGAAAAACGCCGTACAAGCCTTCAGGCGTTGCCAAAACTCCCTATATAAGTCACGCATTTTCGGATAAATTTCTACACATTTTCCGCGAGATTTTTGGAGAGTTTCGCTCATAATTTAATCTAAAGTGCCTGACAATTTCAAGGGAAAATATTAATAAAGTTCTTCAAAAATAAATATTTCCTGAGAGGCAACTTGGCAACATTCAAAAGCTCATAAGGCGTTCTTCCTGAGCAAGGCAGCATAGGAGTCACCAATTACCCGCAAATCCTCGATGGGTTGAATTGATGAGTTCAGACTCATAGTAAGTTTTCCTGCTAGAAACAATCGTGTTGGTACCATTTTGAGATCATATTTTAACCACTATGACGCCAACGAGACACCACTATACCATGTTAGTGAGTGAAACATGGTACCATGTTGACGCCAAAATGGTATCCATGTTACACCCCGTTGGCAAAATTGCCCAGACTGGGGTACTTTTTTGTCCCGTCCGTGGACAAGTCACCCCCGTTGCCCAGTCCTCGAATGACGTGTTGCCCATTCCGTGACTGGGCAGCCACTCCGCAGACCGGTCCGTCAAAAGTCTGAAAATTACGCCAACGAGTCAAACGTTTTTAAGTGCTACGCGTTTTTAAGTGTTTTTAATACGCTAATTGATGAATGTCACACACTAACCGGCTTAAGACGAATTATCCGCGAGATTCTGAACGAAACTCATAGGTATCAAAACAATCTACAGATTATGTAAATAAATTTTACAGCGTATATTTTCTTATCATTCTCAAAATTTTTGAGACAAGTTTACGTTTTTTTAAATTTTGCTTACATCTTGGATGTACCTACGTGTTGCATATTTAAAAATTGGAGGCGTATCCAATTCACGAAAACTAGACTGATTTTGAATTGACCATAGCGCCTTGACGCAACTATTCGTGCTCCAGGGATGTGCATGGTGCATGTTCAAAATTGAAGGCACTTTCGTTTTTCTCACATCTTCATAGATGCACGGGACATGTCAGTTGTAGCACTTAAATAACAAAGTATGTGGCTAGGCGCCGTATTAATGTAGCCGTTCTTTATACAGGTCCTTCTCTGAGGAGGACCCATACGGTTTATATCGTGATTAAGGGATCCTCCCGTCACGGAGAAAGAAGAATAGCTGTTTTTACAATGTTCATAGTAAACT